ACACCCTCCAGGATATTTTCGCGGTAATATTCGGCATTTATTCTAATGCCACGGTCGATTAATACGAGCGGAGAGCGACCATCGGCTGTTATGGCGGCCCACACCATCACCATGGCCGGAGCTTAAGTTTTGGTGGCCAACCGAAGATGCAAATTTTCAGCTGACCTCTTTGGCAAGTAATCACGATCATTTTGTTTGTTTACAAACTGCTGGACAACGAATGTTTTCTCATCGGAGAAAACCAAATTCGGCGGTTCACCACTTTCGGCCAAGCGAAGCAACTCGTTAGCTCTTTTGAGTATTTTCTTTCTATTGCGAAGTAAGTTTTTGCACTTTTTGGAATTTCAATGGCTTTACCCCGAACTCAATTTTCAATAATTGCCGAATGGAATATTGCGATATGTTCATCTCACGAGCCATTTTTCGGCCACTGCGACGCGGTTTTCGATCAAGTCGCTTCTTTATTTCTCGAACCATTTCTGTTGATGTTGCTGTTTTCTTCCGTTCACTTCCTGACTACCAGTATCATAGTAACGAGCGATGGTACGAGACACAAAATATTAATTCAAATTTAAATGCTGGAGTGTTCCAACGATAGCCACTTGTAGTTTTCCAGCCAAATATAAAGAAATCACACTATCACGCTTGAATTCCATCACGAATAAATCTTTTTCTGCAAAATTCTCAACAAAATGATTTTTTACGCTCGTAAACAATATAATGAGCTGTCACTGGAATAATTGTAACAGCTGTCGGACGAATGGCTTAGAAATGACAACAGTCTGAAGTTGGTTGCAGTATTTTCATCTCACCCTGTAAACCCCCATCCTTGACTTATGATTATTCAAACTGTTGACTCTTTATGGGGGAGGTTCCGAAGCAGTTGGCCAATATTGACCAATTCGTATCTAACCTAACATTAATATAAATATTACAATGTGAAAGATTTGGACTTTATCGAATTCTTCCTGTACTTTTTATGAGATATGTGCATTTTTATACCCTACAACACTATGTGTTGGGGGTATTATAAGTTTGATTGGGCCAGAATTTATGTAACACCTCGAAATATTGGTTTCCCATATAGGAAAGTATATATGGATCTTCCTAGCTCGCCGAGCTGAGTCGATCTAGCTATGTATGTCCGTCCGTCCGTCTGTCCGTCTGTCCATGTTAATTTGTAATCACTCTACAGGTCGCAATTATGGCCCGATCTTCACGAAATTTAGAATGTAGGTGGGGTTAAGGTCAGAATAGAACCCTATTTCTTTTGGTGATGATCGCATAATATTTAGGGGTTGAAATGGACCAAAAACTGAAAAAATTCCTGATTTTGCAGTTGCTCTACAGGTCGCAATTATAGACCAATCGACGCGGAATTGCGCATGTAGCTAGACTTTAGTGCGGGGAAGAAGCCTACCAATTCGGGTGGTCATCGGATAATATTTAGCGGGTAAAATAGACCATATCTTTTGTGTTAAAAAAATTCAAAATTTTTCATTAAACCGCGAATATTTTAAATCCCGGCGAAATCAAAAGCCATGACAAGGTGACTTCTGATCTTTACATTGATGTTAACATCCATCAAATCGGATATATAGCAAAATATGTGCGATATATATGTCTATCAAAGAGGATATGCTTGAAAAATCTCTTATATGTCGAGAACGGCTGAACGGCTGAACTAATTTCGACAGTTCGCATTAATTCAAAATGGCCTCTTGGCTGGAAAGAAAAAACGTCTAAAAAATTGCATAAAAATATCTCTCTAAAGATGAAAATATTGATCTTGTAACATTTTCTCATATTTTTTCAATTTTGTCATATTTTTGGCATATTTTCATTTTGAATTAAACATTTGGTAATATTTCTACAGCTAACAAAACTAAGTAGTTAGGATATCAGGATATCATATACAGATCGCATTTATGGCCCGATCCTTATGAAATTGTGCATGGGGATAAGATGAGGGTCAGAATAGAAGCCTACTCTTTTTGGAGATGATCGCCATATATTTAGGGGTTGAAATGGACAAAAAAACTGCAAAATTATCAGCAGGTCGTAATTATCGCCCGATCGCATTTGAATGGAGGTTACCGGACATTGCAAAAGCCAAATAGATTTGGATGGCCATCCAAAAATATTCAATGTGTGAACTAGTTTGCCAACTTTTGTAGACAAAATACGAAAATATCCATTCCAGTGTCTTTTTGGAGAATTCACAAATACAGGAAAGACGCACTTCTGACTATTTCGTTAAGGCTGATTTCGTTGAAGAATATAGTCAAATGTCTGTATCTCATATAGATGCGTTTAAGTCAAAAACCAATAATAAATGTTAATCTTTTGCCACTTCTGAGAGATTATATGTCTTTGGGAAATATTGGTTCCAGATCTAGGAGGACCATTTACGTGCAACATCTTACTATAAATTGGAAATGAGCAAATTAGATCAAGTTTCTATTATTCGAAAATTAGAACGAAACCTGATGGTTTTCTTTTATTATTTGTCACAATATCTTGTGGAATTCTTTCGAGTATATGGCCTATATAAACTGTATCATTTATTATAGTGTTGTAGGGTATTCAACGGTCGGCCCCGCTCGACTGAAGCCTTTGCTTACTTGTTTTTTTTAAATGTAGAAATGTGCGTGAGGTAACAGATATAGCGAACGGAAGTATTCCATTTTCATATTTCATCGAATACAGATAAAAATATTGGTATGTGCAAAATTTGAAGAAAACCGAACTTTTATATCCAATTTTATGCGAAATCATAAATTCCGATTTAAGAGAAATATTTAGATATAGCTAGTTGTGTAGAATCGCCGACTTGTTTCACAAGTTATGATACATATAAGTATTGGAAATTGTTCCCTTTATGGGTGACGTACCAGAAGGGGTTGGCAGATGTATATCATCCTCACAACAGATCTTATGTTAGCAATAATGTTTGTATGTCGAAAATTTGAGGAGATGAATGAATGGATTTGAGTGATTATTTTACTTTCTTCAAGCGTTTTGTTTTTTTAAATCATGAACCCTATGTGGGGGAGGTAAGAGAAGAAATGGTGCGATCTCTACGATCTTTATAACAGATCTTTTGTTGATAGAAATATTGAGATTGATACATCTCTTAATAGAATTGGACGTTATTTTCACGTTTTATGAGCTTCATGGATACTCAAAATTTTGATCCTTTGTGGGGGAGTGGACAATTATATATCTCATTTTCACACCAGACGTTGGATTAATATTGTGATTTGTTTAATTTGAAGAGAACCAGATGCTTATTTCGTTGTGGGGGAGGTACCATGAGGAATGGTCCCATCTCTACCATCTTTATAATAAATCTTGTGTTGATAAAAATATTGAGATGTGCCAAGTCTGAATGGGATCGGCTGTTAATTTCGTGTTTTATCAGCTTCATGAATTTACAAAATATTGACCCTTTGTGAGGAGGTACCAGAAGGAGTGGACCGATATATTCTATCTTCACATCAGACATTGGATTAATACAAATATTATGATGTGTGTAGTTTGAAGTCAATCAATTCCAAATTTTGACTGATATTGTCTTTGACTGATATTGTCCATTTTCGCACCTGCTGTAGCACTGATGGAAATATTAGGATTCGCATAGTTTTAGCAAAATCTTTGTGTGCAGAAAATTATTTTCTTTGAAAATGAAGACATTTTGTGGGGGAGGTACCAGAAGAAGTGGACCGATATTGCCCAACTCCGAACTCGATCTAAGTTTGACATTTCTTCTAGGAGTTGAATTATAGAGAATTATAGCTATCGGGTTTTATTTAAACGTCTCGTAACAAATATCATAAATACAGGCTGTTTTTCTGTTTTGGGAAGGATTTATCAGAAGCGATTTTTAATAAATCTAAATCATGTGATACAAAATAAGGACTCCCTACAAATCTGAATCATCAATAGGATTCGTCATTGTACCCTAAAATTAAGGATGTGAAATTTCGCATTGATAGGAGAAAAATTCTACCTACTTCGATTTTATCAATGTCTGGACTAAGAAACAAATTCTATGAAGATCGTCAAAAAAAGCAATGGCTTCATCTTGTCTGCTTCATGTTACAAACAAATGCACAAATAAATAACCAACCGACTGAGCAATCCCAACCATTATTTATTCATTCATTTTTCTTCTTATCATCATATCTTTCAATAACATTTCACTCTTTCTGCAAACCAAATCTCACAAATTAAGACAAAGTGGTCTAGGGCCTCCATTCACGACACTAATTAGTAAAATCGATGCTATCATCGATGAATGGAAATGGACATTACGTGTAATTGATAAAACGCTTTTGTTAATCAAATTGAGGGAATGAGATTTAATGGTGACCAGTTTCTGCCAAAAAAGAAAACAAATATTAAATATTTCCCCCAATTCCTAGACCAGACCGCATGTAGGCCTTGTAACACCGACACAAGAGAGGAGAGCAAGGATTTTGATTTGTTGGCAAAAAGGACATTGAAGTGTCATAAAAACATTTTTTTCGAAACTAAAGAAGAGAAATGTTTGCGACAGTTTGAAAGAGAAAAAAGCTTACAAAAGACAAGATGAATGGTGTTGTTGTTATTGCTTTGTGTCAGAAGAAGAACAAGAAGAAGAGGAAGAAGATGTAACAATATTTATGACTACTCTTTTCCTTTTTATTTGAAAAAGGGAAAACTGGATCCTGTCCTGTTTGTAGAAGTTCCTTAAAACATTTACTTATTTATAATTTTCAATTTAATTTTATTATTCAATGGTGTATTTAACACTCGTGTCAACTCTTTTACTGCCCAACTTTGTAAAAATAACGCCTGCGCATTACGGGGGTGTTTACCCTCTCTCGCTCGCTGAGAGTGCCCATCTCACAACCCTCCCCCTTTTCTCAGCGATTAGAAAAGCTGTTGTTGGCTATTCGCTTTTACCCTCTGAGGTGGCATAAGTCAGTTGAATATTCGTAGGTCTCAAAACGAATTCTACCCTTACTGGGTATACAACACGGCCGTGACGACGAATTACTAACGAAGCAAAAAAAATCTCTAACACAAAAAATAGTAGTGAATCATAAAACACAAGTTTTTTTCCTCCTCATACTGATTTTTTTCCTCCAATCGATTGCAAATTTTCGAGAAAAAGTTATTTTTTTCAAAACGAAAAAGAAAATTCCATGAAATTCAAGTGAAATTCTGTGAAAATCGCATTTGGTCAATAGTGAAAATTTTGAGCTCACATCAAGAAAAATCCTATTTTTTCTGTATAATACTTGGAAAGGAAAAGAAGAAAATTGTGAGTGAGTGACTGTGTGAGAGTGTGCGTGTGTACGAGTGAAGGTGTCTTAACTTTTGGAAAATTTTCTTTAAACCCAGTCGAAAAAGTAATACGCAAAGCAAAGTTAAATTTATTTTTCCTCCAATAAAAGTGAAAAAAATTCCTATTTATTATTAAAAAACAAGAATACACATATACAAATGTATGTGTATATGAAAATTTCAAACGAATGTGCGCATTTGGATATTTTTTAATATTTTCTTTGATTTTGACGACAATTTTGATTTTGTTACTAATTTGTGCCACAACACAACAAAAATCGTTGCTGCAATTGATTGATTTTCAAGTCCAAAATTTTTTCAATACAACAACTACAAATTTATCAACTATTATTACAACAACTACAACAACAAAAGCGACATTTATAAACGACAAACAGCCAATATTTTTACAATCTCCTCCTTCTTCCCCATGAATTGGTAAAGAAAAAATTGAAAAAAAAGAAATGAACAACCATCCCAAATCGAATCATCAACAACAACATCAGCAAGAGGAACTAAACAATTCATAACAAAAAAATCATTAATTAATTTTATTTAACTTTTTGTTGTATAATTTCCTATATTAGATTTTTTTAATTTTATTTCATTTATCTGGTATCCCTAAAAATTGTAGAGGAAAAAAGGACTGTAGGAGTATTGGGTTCTCCCTAAAGTTTGGAGATTCTATTATTTCCAGTTTCTCCTCTTATTGCCACTCTGTGATGAGTTTTATTGCCATTAAAAAAGAGAAAGAATTTGAGGCTCTTGATATGAAGTGTTGCTCTTTGCCAAAGAGTCAACTTTTTTCCACAGTTTCTCTCTCTCTCTGTCCGTGTTTGTTTTTCTCTTCTAATGGTATAGAGATAACATGAAAATTTATTAATAAAGGTCAAGATAATATGTATGGTGGACAAGGAAAAATAAAAAGGAAAAAACAAGAGACAAAGACGGGCAAAATTGGGGAGGATGTTGTTGGCAATAGTGTAGCATCCATCCGTCCAACCATCCATGACAATCACAACAAAAACAATAACACATTGTGCTGTGTGTATGCTGCCGACATAAAGGAATAACAACAAACACAACGCATATTGTCCTTTGTCCTCCATGACTAATAATGAAATCAAATCATATGTTCTTGTTGTGAGTGAGTGAGCTCCTCTCCCCTCTTCTCTGCCGGAGGATGTGATTGTTGCAGTCACTTGAATTGAATTACATTGAGGAGGCACTGCTTTCCACTGCTGCTGAGGCTGACGCTGTTGATATTTAATCTGTCATAATCCTTTCTGTGTTGCAACAAATGCTAATGCAATAATAAAATAAAGTTCATTTTCCATTCTATACTACGTCAGCTCCTCACAATCATCACATACATACAAATGTACATATATGTGTGACAATCACATGCATTGTGGTTTAACGCCCACTGCAGCAGCATCCTTCAAAACTTTCACTATATGTCCTGCTTTTTCTTCTCGATTTTCCATCAATTCTTTGTGTGTGTGCTTGTGTGGGATGTTAAAGCAGTTCCTTTGTTTTACGGTAATGCAACAACAAGTAATGTCCTTAAACAAATATCTACATCATCACATCACAGCTAGTTTGACAAAGAATTAAATGATGTCAAGTTTTATCGTTGATTAAACATGACAAGGAAGAGTCTCATGAATAGTAATTATTTTTGAAATTAATGACGTATTTTGAAGGGGGAAAAACCTTGACGACTCATTTTAGAGAGATCTTTGGGATTTTTTTTGTAATTTTAATTGGGAAATTGGAAATTAATTTTTACCTTGGACTCTTGTAGCCATTTACAAATTTTAAGAAGAAGTTCAAATGTTTGCCTTTATAACAGAAACAAAACGTTAATGGGCCTTTAAGTCTACTATAGAGAGAATGTCTCCTCCAGGTTATCTATAGCTGAAAGAAATCTTCCCAACGAGAGATATTTGAAAAAGTTCAAGATCGTATGATACTTGCCATTGGATGAGAAGTAGCTGGGACTGTGGTGGGTGAAATTTGGTTTCGACCAACCTACAATAATCAACGCCTCTCCGCTAAATTACATCGATTTTATTTTGAAGTGTCCAATTTAGTTTGAGAATAGGATTTGTAAATATGTCCCTCTTTATGTACAGAATGAGATAAAAAAACTGCAACAATGTCAAATGCCATAATTTTTTATTTATTTTTTTTTTTTAAATTTATTGAATGAAAGCTAAAAATTTCGGAAATAACTTCATATTTTAGAATAAGTTTAGATTTGTTCGAAGTAGTCACCTTGGCTCGAATAATTTCCTTCAAACGGCCAATGAAACAGTCACACGCTGCCCGATTGTTGCTCCGCGTTATTTTAGCCTATTCCCGGCGAAGCGGTGCTTGATGTGATCGACACTTTGGTATTTTTTAGTGCCAACCTTGCTTTCCAAAATATTCCAGACACAATAGTCCAACGGATTGGTATCCAGATCACTTTGGTGGTCATTGTGCGTTGGGAATGAAGCGAGGAACCTCATTTTGTAACTATTCTTGGGTGGCGCCTGCTGAGTGCGATGGTGCTGAGTCCAGTTGGAATGTCCAAGGTCTGCGGCCAAAATGTTTGCGTACCCCAGCTTTAATACACCAGAATATTTTCGCGATAATGTTCGACATTTATTATGATGCCACAGTCGATTAATACGAGCGGAGAGCAAGCTTCGGCTGTTATGACTGCCCACACCACCACACTGGCCGGCGCTTGAATTCTGGTGGCCAAACGAAGGTGCAAATTTTCAGCAGACCTCTTTGGCAAGTAAACACGATAATTTTGTTTGTTTACAAACTGCTGAACAATGAATGTTTTCTCATCGGAGAAAACCAAATTCGGCAGTTCACCACTTTCGGCCAAGCGAAACAACTCTTTAGCTCTTTTGAGTCTATTTTCTTTCCGTTGCGGTGTAAGTTCTTGCACTTTTTGGAATTTCAATGGCTTTATCCTGTTAAGCTCGCTTTTTAATGTTTGCCGAACAGAATATTACGATGTAATCAGCTCACGAGCCATTTTTCGGCCACTGCGACGCAGGTTTCGAAATATGAAACAATTCCGTTGAATAATGTGGCTAAAATCATCAAAATACCGATATAGGGAGGTACAGGTACATTTTTAATACCAAAAGTCCTGCTGACCGAACACATATTTGCGTAAAATGTTAACAACCTACTTCAATTCGTTTGGAAGCTAGAGTGATTTCCACAGACAGACAGACGGACGGACATCGTTAAATCGACATAGAATTTTATGCTGATATAGAATATGTATATTTCGAGGTGTTAAAAACGGAATGACAAACTTAATGTACCCTCCACCATAGTATGGAGTATTAATAATACAAATGTATTAGAATAAAATTGTTTTTTTATTTCATTGATCAATAGTTGACAAAATGGCTCATCTAATTTCTAATTAGCTTCAAAGATAATTTAATACAATTATCAATAAATTGTTAAACTTTCATCCAAATATCATTGTTTTGCAAATAGGATAATTCTGAATAACAGTACCGATTTGTGGTAGAATTGTGAAACAGAATTGTGAAATGGCCCCGTTTATTATAACTCGAATACAGGACATTTCCAATTTTTAAGGAAACCCCCTTTCATTTATATTTATCTTTTTTTTATTTTTAGTTCATCTAAATGTGCATGTTTAAATCTCCATTAAATCATAATAACAAACAAATAAAAACATTAAGATTTACAAAAAAATTTTAATGAAATTTCCTTTTTTCTCATTTAAAGAAAACTAAAAGTGAAAAAGATCAATAGAAAGTTGAACACAAAAGATAAAATACCAAATTGAAATATTCAAAACGTGAAAAGTGAAAGAAAATTATTAATAAAGAGAAATATGATGCAAATGTGAATAAATTTCAATACACAACAAATAAATTTGAAACATAAGGTAATTTGATTTGAATTTTAAAATAGCAGTAGTGCTATTCTCTAACTATTTAACAATAAAATTAACGATAATTATCAATAACAGCAATTATACAATTGCGGATAATTTCGGTAATTAGCGATAGAAAAATTTTAAGGATTTTTGTAGGGTACGAAAATATACTTAAAACGATTCGCAATCGTGTGAAAACTACAATACTTTTCTTTCTCTGAGTAAAATTGGGATACTGTAATATTTTTGTTTTATCAAAATAGTCAAGATTAATATCCTCGCTCTTATATTAATATTATGGCAATTGTGTTTTTAGATTTGCAGTGGTTAATGGGGGGAAAGCCATCCAAAAGATTCTTAAAGTTACTTCAATGGTTTCTTGCAAATGTTTACTGTGTTAATTTTATATTTGTTTATTAATAATACAAAATTTGATATTATTAATTAACACTTGTGTATTGAGGTATTTGCCGGAATATGCTTTTTAAACAATTGAGAAATGGTGTACACATTTTAAAATATCGCAAATAGACCTCAAGTTGAAAACAAAATCTGTTTGTGAAAAACTAGTGCACAATACCAAAGTGGACGTTATGTAGGGTTTATACCAAAAAATGCACAGCATTTGAAAACAAAAGTTAATTCGAATACGTTTTTTTTGGAATGGGGTAAAATGTATTTGCAAACGACGAATATGCATTTATAATCGACGCATTAAAAAAACATGTAAAATAGTTCATATCCGGGCGGGACCGATACCCAACACTATTACACATTAGTGCAGTATAATAGAAATTCTTTTTTGCTAAGTAAATTTACAAAAATTTAAGATAAATATCGTTTTTGTAATGCTCAAGTGTTCTATGCGCAAATTTTCTGTTTTGAGAACAGCGCATTTCAATGGTTGCCTCTCGAATTGCTTGGAGCTGACTGAAAATCCTTGTTAAATTATGGAGAGCTTATAAGATTATGAATTCTTGTTTTTAAAATGAAAATTAATATCTTCCGATTTTTTTAAATTAATATTTTTCGGGATACCGTATTATTTTGTTGTTGCAAACTAGTCTGTCTTAATCCCATTATTGTTGTTTTTTTTTATAAAAACAACGTTTGTTTATTGGTGGAGAAAGATAATTATGTTTAGGCAAGGCAGGTTTCGGAAAGAGCCACCAATCCTCTGGAATATTCCCCCACGAGTTTTTTATATTATTTATATTATAATTCTTTTGGAAATTCTTCTAAATTTGGCATGGGAGTCATTTTTAAAATAACAGTCTTTATCACTTGAAGAAGAAGAATATGCATATACCCTACATAATTTTTTAAAATTCAAAGTTTGGAAAAGCGGCTGCAATCCACGAACAAATGTAACCGGTTACCGGTTTCGAATTCATAATACAAATCTTTGGTCCCATTCTATGAGGGCATGCAAAAATCAGGATCTATTGAACCATTTTTACGAGAATGTGTTCTACCTATTAGGATGTAGAAATATCAGGCCCTTTAAATACCTTCAATTGATAGTTATGTAAAATTATAAACCAGTATTAGATTTCCATAACTATTACAATAAATTACCAAATTACAGCCTAATCTGGTAAAAATTCGATCAGAACCTTCAATCTATCGAATATTACAAGGTACCGATATATAGGGGCTATGGCAACTAACTAACATACACTTGTTAAAGAATTTTAAATTTAAGTCTGGAGAATTCCTCCATTGGCTCTCTTTAACAGAGAGTATATATTTGCTGATCGCTACCAATATTATGATTTGATACTGGCCAAGGGAATGGTAACAAGGCTTTTTCAGTTTTTTTTTTTAATTTTAAATTCTATTGGATTTAGTACTCAATTCTGTAAAATAAACAGAATTCGTGAAGTGAAATTTATTTGATTTCTTTTTTTATATCACTCTTTACTATACTGGACTATGTTCAAACGTTTTAATAAAACGATGCGAAACAGCAAGTAATATAAAATCAGTTATAGTATTTTCGATAATAAAGTGTTGGGATGCCAATACTGATTTTGAAAATAATAAAAATAAATACAAATTAATATTGAGCAACAACATCGAAATTATTGGACCAATTCCATATTTTGAGCGGACACTTCACCGTAGCGGCCGGGCCGTAGCTGTGACCAAATTTAATTCTTCAAACAGTTTGGAAAGGACAAATATTGGACCGAGCTGCACCGACTAAATTATAGACTAATATGCATATTTTCCAAAGCTTCCCGTAACTCCAGCTATGAAAGATATTGAATGTTTATGACGATTATATATGAGTGCTATATCTTAGTAATCCTCCTATCAGAAAATGCTATAAATTTTACGATTGGCCTCTAATGTCTTAATTTCAGAAAAAAAACCATCAGAATGTCTGTCAAGTAAATATGCATATACAAGGTGTCGCAAAAGTAATGTTTTTGGCTGCATTTCAGGCATTAGGAATCACTCGTAAAATTTATAGTATATTCTGATAGGAATTATATCTACATTGTTTTTCGAAAATGACGAGACAATAAAGAATTTTTCTATTTTGTTGTTATTTTTCCATTTCTGCTTTCTTCCATCCTTTGTGTCCTTTTTTTCTCATTGTGTGAGTCATACAACGAACTCTGGAAGTGTGTTATGTAGACATTGTCAGTCAGCCAACCAGCCAGACAGACGGACACATTTTTCATTCCATGTGGATTTTATGTGCGCACTGGAAGGATGGTCTTGTGCTCTTCCACTGGTTGTGCTGCTGCTGTTGTTGTCTCTGCTGTCATGCCGTACTGTGTGGAACATATGTTTACTTCCAATGGAATTTTAAGAGATTTCAAGTGATTTATTTTGTTGTTGTTATTGTCGCTTTTTAAAACTTTGTAGTATTACGAAGTGAACTTTATGGGGTTTTTTCTTTGGTGATAGTGGTGTTTGTGGATAGGACAAAAGAAAATTTCTTTGTGATTTGTAAAAGGAACTGAATTGAATATTGTCAAAGGTTTTTTTCGAAAATATATTGTTTTGCGACAAATAAAAGAAAATACTGAAAAGGGAATATCTATGCTTGAGAGTTGTTAAGATTCTCTAGAGGTAATGATTTTTATTATTATTTATTAAAAAGAAGCAATGTATTGAGGTGAAATGGCAAATCTTTAGAAATAGAATAAAATTATTTTGCCTACAACGAAAACAAATGAGTTTTTGGAATGAATCCAACAAAAACAAAAGCAGATGGTTTCAGATTTAATATGAGGGTACAGACAACATTTATAGTCCAATAACAAGAGCAATATTTTAGGAGAAATATATAAAAAAATGTGATTGTCGAATTAACTATGTGTTTTTTTTTTTTCTACGAACACATGAGCCGAATCACAATCAAACATTTGTTTCAAACAAGTGTTATATAAAGATATTGATTTTATGTATACATATTATATAAAGGTATTTTGATATATTATGTGTGCAAAAGAACCCTCAACTTGAGATTTGTAAAAGATTTAATATATAATTTAAACAGATTTTGTTTAAAATTGCCAATTTTCTTCTTCTCAGTTTTTGATAATTTTTTCCTTGGCAGATATTTGATTGGGATTTGCAGCACATTTTAGTTTTATTTCAAAATTTTCCTGTTATAAGAGTGTTAATTATGACCGAGCAGGAATTCAGTTCTTCAGAAATTTTAAAGGAAAATACATTACCACAATATCCCCAGTTAAAGGCATACTTCAGAGACGAAGTTTTTTTTGGCATTTTTCTCGGCCACCGGCTTAGAGGGAGGGAAATTGTCGAGCAATGAATGTGGAATTTCTAATCGTACATTTTTCCAAAAATAGCCCAATAACAACATGTTTTTTATTAGATTAAAAAAACGCATTTAGAGAGTTTTATCAACAATTCAGGAAGCTGATCTCCTTTGATTATTGGTGCAGCGATGATAATCTTAAACCTCCTGAGGCTCAAGAAAAACGCTAAAACCCCTTCAAAACTTTCAGTAATGGATTTCAGGGAGCTGATCTCCTTTGATTATTGGTGCAGCGATGATAATCTTAAACCTCCTGAGGCTCAAGAAAAACGCTAAAACCCCCTCAAAACTTTCAGTAATGGATTTGCTTTCCAATTATTAGAAGAACCTACTTCGCGTTAATTGATATTCGCAGTTCTTACAGGTTCCTAAAAGCACTCAAATCTTAGACTATCGAACCCCAAGACAAATTCGAATCGTAATTTCTCGCTCTGAGTCATAAAAGTGAATTCAATTTATCTTTAAGCTGGAAGAAAATGTTGTTGTAGTGCCAATGCTTTTCTGTTATAATTCTAAATTAATACAACTATTATGAACTCTCAACTGGTCCGTTGCATCCTTTTTTAAAACTTTATCACAGAATGGTGTAAGCTATATAAAATGGCACGTATCAAAAACTATTATTATTGGGAGCAAGCGATGGCTTACAGGTAGCTTAAAAGTTAAATCTGTTGCAAAATCTTCAAATTCAACCATTTCAACAGTTCGTGTTAGGCTTATAAATTTTCTGTCCAAAACTATTTCAACGACTCCATATTCATATCAAATTACAGGATTCCAGCTCTATTCCTTCACCCAAAACAAAATTAAGTAACATTTAGTACGTATATTCATAAAATCTACATCTCTCCATTTAACAGTGAACACTTATAGTACGCATTTGCAAAACCACCACCAGATACCAACGGAGCCTTCAATATTAAATTTCGAGGTTTCAGCTCTATACATGCACTCAATATCAAATTTAGTAACATTTGAACCTTTTCGTACAATTATAGCACACATGTCCAATTCTAGGATTTCTGTCCTATTTTTTCTCCTAATGAAACATTTTGCACCATTTAGCGCGCTTCGTAGAAATATATGCATTTCCAAACCATCGTAGTCTGAAAATCATCATCAGTAGTCTGAAAATCAATTTTCAGAATTTTATATTTATCCCTTCACCCAATACCTCTATTTTCTATTCTTTCACCTAATAAAAAATTAGTCCCATTCCGTTAATCCTAAATTTAATTCACATTTTCAAAGTCACTTTCATATATATATACTGTCCGTTCACATAACACCAAATTGTACCATGTTAGAAATTTTCGTTACCTTAAAGTTCGAATACTTTGGCACATCTATCCGGCACGCCATCAGTGACTCTCATTCCAAAATTCAGAATTCTAGCTAATTCCGTTTGTCCAATAGAAAATATTAAACTTTTACTAATTTTCGTACCCTTTTAGCACAAATTTCCAAAAACTCAATCTTATCTCACGCCTAAGCACCTAAAGTGACACTCCTGCAAAATTTCAAGGCTCTAGCTTCAGCCGTAATTTATGGGCGCTGATCAGTTAGTCATTTCACTACTCCTTTATATTCAGGGTGAGATGAAAAAAACTGCAACAAAGTCAAAGGCCATAACTTTTACATTTTTTTAATTTTATTGAATGAAAGTAAAAAATGTCGGAAATAGCATCAAATTTTAGAATAAGTTTAGATTTGTTCGAATTGGTCACCTTTGGCACGAATTATGGCACTCAAACGGCCAATGAAACCGTCACACGCTGCCCGAATGTTGCTCTGCGGTATTTTGGGCCATTCCCGGTGAAGCGCTTGCTTGAGGTGATCGACACTTTGGTATTTTTTAGTGCCAATCTTGCTTTAAAATACACCAGACACAATAGTAACCATTCTTGGGTGGCGCGTGCTGAGTCCTGTTGGAAGGTCCAAGGTCTGTGGTCTGTTTGCGTTCCCAAGGCTTTAATACACCCTCCAGAATATTTTTGCGATAATATTCGGCATTTATTCTGATGCCACGGCCGATTAATACAAGCGGAGAGCGACCATCGGCCGTTATGGCGGCCCACATCGGCGGCATCACCATGGCCGGCGCTTGAGTTCTGGTGACCAACCGAAGATGCGCCTCTTTGGCAAGTAAATACGATCATTTTGTTTGTTTACAAACTGCTGGACAACGAATGTTTTCTCATCAGAGAAAAACAAATTCGGCAGTTCGCTACTTTCGGCCAAACGAAGCAACTCTTTAGCTCTTTTTAGTCTATTTTCTTTCTGTTGCGGTGTAAGTTTTTGCACTTTTTGGAATTTCAATGGTTTTACCCCGAGCTAATAAGGTGATAACACTTGAATTCGAATTATTTTTAATTGATGAAGATCGATTCAGATATTGCCATAACTCCTATATATGTACTCGTATATGCTGCAACTGATTATGACTTTCAACCATTCAATTCTATGCCTGTAATTTTTTTTTAAAGAAATGATTTTCGTTGGATCGAAACAAAAACATACACAAGTGAAAACTGAAATAAGATCTACCAAGTGTAATTTGCATACACATATGGAAAAAAACTATAATTATAGTGAAGTCCGTTGGCTTCCAAACTGCTCACATTTCTTGTTACTGTAATCCATTCATTGTTATTGTAATCTCAGACGTGACGAGGGCTCAAAAAATTTAATAATTTGAATTAATTTTAATGTGGGTTCCATTTTAAAACCTGCTCATGCGTTAATTTTTTTGGCGTCAAACAATAGGGGGCCTCCACCCTAGCATATCATGTTTTCATCTACACATTTTTGAACTAAAAATCATGTTCTCCATGTCGCTAAATGTCGAACTTTTATAATTGTATTTTTTAATGATTATCCTGAAATTACAAAAAAAAGTTATTAATATCGACAAAAAATATATTCTCTCTAAATTTTAAATATTTCAAAAATAGTTTTGAACATTATTCAAAATATTTAAATAACATTTTCCGTATTTTTTTCAATTTCCTTTTAGATTCTCTAGTCAACTTTTTTATTTCACCGTTGTACTAGGCCGCCTTTGGGCCTCTCACCGCCAAGATGTCGTCGGTTAAAGTGGCGGTTCGAGTGCGTCCCTTCAACTCGCGGGAGATAAGTCGAGAGTCAAAATGTATCATAGAAATGTTCGATAATACAACCACAGGTGAGAATTCTCGGATGACAAGCATTTAAATGAAGATATACTAAAACTTTTTCCATTCTCTACAGCCATTACAAATCCCAAAGTTCCACCCAATTCTGCTGATTCGGTTAAACGTTTTAATTTCGATTATTCCTATTGGTCACATAATGTAAGCATACCTTGGAAATATTTTACGCAAAATGCAAATAAATATTATGTCTTAAATTTCTATTTCAGCCCAAAGATCCATGTTTCTCTACACAGGCCATGGTCTACAAGGATATTGGCGAGGAGATGTTGCAGCACTCATTCGATGGCTATAACGTGTGTATATTTGCCTATGGGCAAACTGGTGCTGGTAAATCCTATACCATGATGGGAAAACAGGAAGAACATCAGGAGGGTATAATACCCATGATTTGTAAAGATTTATTCCGGCGCATTGCTGCAACAGAATCAGATGATTTGAAATATTCCGTAAGATTATATTAGAATATAAAGAATGTAAAAATAAATAATAAATGATTGCCTTCTTCCTTTCAGGTTGAGGTCTCCTATATGGAAATCTATTGCGAACGTGTGCGAGATTTACTCAACCCTAAGAACAAGGGAAATTTACGTGTCCGTGAACATCCACTGTTGGGTCCCTATGTTGAGGATCTATCCAAATTGGCTGTCACCAGCTACCAAGATATCCACGATCTCATTGATGAGGGCAACAAAGCCCGTACTGTGGCAGCCACCAACATGAACGAGACCAGTTCTCGTTCTCATGCCGTCTTTACAATTTTCTTTACCCAACAGCGGCATGATGCAATGACCGATTTGAACACAGAAAAAGTCTCCAAAATAAGTTTGGTTGATTTGGCCGGTTCGGAACGTGCCGATTCCACGGGTGCCAAGGGTACACGTCTAAAAGAGGGCGCCAATATCAATAAGTCCCTGACCACATTGGGCAAAGTTATTTCAGCTTTGGCAGAAATTGTAAGTGTTGTGTAGTTTTAGTTTCATGTTTCCGTTAGATTTCATTCCCACACAAACTACCTTATTTTGTTACACACACACGCACACCCACATAGACATTTTACACTCATTTCCCATGACATCGAGTTTTTGTCGGGAATTTTATGTTGTTGTTTTTGTTTTCTTATATTACAATACCTCTTAATAAATACTTTCAATGAAGTTGTCGAAATATTTTCTAAATTTCTATGAAATCCACTTTGCTTTTTCTTTCACCTCGAAAAAAAAAATGTAACATTCATAAATTCCATTTGCCACAAACAATTGGTTATCCATAACGTCCTTTAATGCGAAATTTGAATTTTAACAGTCTGTAAGTATAAACAACGTGAAAATAAAGATTATTAATTTTCTCTACAATACAATTTTGTAAAATAAAAGTAAAGTTAAAGTTTATTGTTTCGTTTGATATTCGTTAAGTTTGTAGGACACAATTCATTTTCTTTAAACAAATGTTTAAAGAGATTTAATTGAAAATTTAACTATTAAACAATGACCTTCGAAATCCTTGCTTAAATCATTCGTTTAAAAGATAGTGCTTTTGTCCACAAACTCGGAGAAGAATCCAAATGTTTTTTTGGTTAAAGTGTTTTTGTTAAGTTAAAATTGTTTTTGAAAAAAGTTTTCTTATTTAAAACATAATTACATTTACATTTTTCAAGTTACATTAGTAGTTGAAACAATTCAGATTTAGTTTTTTCCACATTTGTTTAAGGATAGTTTTCGATGTTTTTTTTTATTTTCAAAATTAAAGCAGACATTTTCTCCTTTGGCTTAATTAACTAGCATTACAATGCGTATGTTTCGAAAACTATCCTTACATATGAATTGCTGCATGGTTTTCTTCAATTCTCCTTTCGGAAAGTAGAACTCATGGCGATGGTCATAGCGCCCACATGATTCTACATTCTTTGAATAACCCACTACCACTAATACATTTTGTTAATATCTAATTTATTATAACTTTCCATATAGGCTTCCAAAAACAAAAAATCTAAAAAAGCTGATTTCATACCATATCGTGACTCAGTTTTAACCTGGTTGTTGCGTGAGAATTTGGGTGGAAACTCCAAAACTGCTATGATTGCAGCTATATCACCAGCCGATATCAATTACGATGAAACGTTGAGTACTTTGAGGTAAGTTTATTCAAAATAACTGTGCAACAGCTTGAAAGTGTTCTTTTGGGATTCTGCGTAAATTCAAGAACAAATACACCTAAATAAAAGTCACATTCTTTTTTATCTTAATATTTTGAGTCCAATTTTGTTGAATAGTATAATTTATTAAATGCATTTTTTAAATTCTTTCTAATAAAATCATGTTTTTCAGATATGCTGATCGTGCAAAGGCAATTGTCTGCAAAGCTGTTGTCAATGAAGACGCCAATGCCAAACTTATTCGCGAACTCAAGGAAGAAATTCAAAAACTGCGAGATCTCTTGAAGGCCGAGGGTATTGAAGTGCAAGAAGGTATTGTTGTGTATAAGAATATAATATGTTCTTGTGTGTTCTTTTGTGTTAGAATCGTTATGTTTGAAATTTTGTTAACAGAAAAAAACTCTTTTTAAACTCCAAATTCGAAATGTGTATTGTTGGAAAATGCAAGCTCAACTTTGCAAGGTACTCAGTCTTTTCAAAATTCTCTGAGACCATAGAAATAAAAATCCCTTATCGAAGTGACTTATGAAGGGAATCTAAATTGGAATAGGCATTCAAAATTTAAATTACGCATCTAGGTTAGGTTACAGAATGCGCAGCTACAATAGATTCGACAGCTGCTTCGCTCTGAGTCTATTGTGTTCGTCCTATAAAGAGTTAGTTATGATAGGAAAGATATAAATTGGGAAACAAAGAAGAGATAGAGATATTTAGTTATAGACGGCCTGCGTAGCAAACCTGTGCATGATGATGGGCTCTACGTCTGGGAAGAACGTTAGAGTTTCTATCTCCCATCGACCGAACAGCCTATGTCATTTACCATCATTTACCATATCATCGTCTCTACCTCTTCTTCGTCCACACATAGTCTATAGTAGTCAGGATCATCGTTATTCCATCTAGAGGTCAGATATCAGATAATCCCCCCTACGATTCTTAGATCGGGCCTACTATTTGAAAAAGGATGCCGGCCGATTTTCGGGTGCCAAAGCTTCTTTGAATCGGCTATTACAATAGCTTATGGATGGTTTGACAATTCCTTCAATCGGTAGATCAATCGACTGGGAATCACTTCGAGCTAATTCGTCTGCCAATTCATAGCCCACTATTTCAAGATTTCATGGCGCTTGTGTTGATAGCTGTTTCTGGCTCTGTTCTCTTGCCATTTCGGCTACCTTCCTGATTGCGAGAATCTGAGTCTGAGAACGATGCAGTTGTCATTAAGCTTATATGGGCTTTTAATCATTGGATTTTGACAGAATACGCCAATACCGATGCCCTATCTCATGGCATAGGCGGCTGCCTTTATTCTCAGTTGATCGAAACTTACAAGCGTTTCATATATTAAAATTTAGTGTCTAAGTTCCGTAGTTGTTTTGTTTTGGTACGTTTATGAATGTGTATAGTGTAGATTTCTGGATCTTGAGAGTGTGAACAGTTTCCCTTTCGAAAGCTAAAATATTTAATGTCCGGTATTTTATGTTTACAAAAAACTCTAGGCATATAGTCACTGATTCAGTGATATTAGTTCTTATTGAATTTGTTAGTCTGATGGGTCCCTGGACACTTCAACATATCTGGCAATTAATCGGCCCATGAATTGCCAGACGCGGATCTGAGTCAGTAGATCTAGAGATTGAGAGCTCAGTGAATCCACGCTTATGTCACTTCTTCCAAGTACTACATAAGCATTATCTTGGGAAATTTCAACAGAACTGGCTAAGTGGAAGGGGATGTAATGTCAAAAAGATTTGGCCGGTGAACTTCGAAAGGAGATAAAGGTCATTCATATCCATGACGAAGCTGGACTTGAAGCTTGTGGTGGGTCTAATTACAGGACACTGCAACATAAAGGCCATAATATCCAAATGGGGAGAAGGGGGCGACGACACTAAATACTGCAGGCTTTGTCAGGACGAGGAGGAAACTGAGACGGTGGAGCACTTACTCTGCCACTGCCCAACTCTTATAGGAGTGAGACAGAGGCTTCTGGGTAAGCAAATTCTGCCAGACTTGTCCTCCCTCTCCGACATCGAGCCAGCGGTCATTCTTCATTTAGCCAGAAGACTAAAATGACTCACTTCTTCACTATCCGCTATTCACTTCCTTTTCTTCTCTTTATTCTCTTCTCCTATCTTCTCAAATACGAATGAACACAATGGACCAATAAGTCCCCGAGTGGAGTGGTTGTTTATACAACCGCGCATCCTTTAACCTGACCTTCTGAAGTAAACAAAAAGCATTAGTAATTCAGTTTCCAGGTTCAGTTATAGACAGTATATTCCAGAACAACCATAACTTTAGTGACTCCATCCACTCGTCTCTGATAGGAATCTGAATAAAAACTCAGGTTGATACCCTGATACTCGATGATGGACGATAATTAAGGTTGTTAAAGAATGTATAACTCTCATTCTTTATGATAATTGTTAATAAAGAATTATATGAGTGGCATCAACTCCTCATAACTGTTGGCAAAAACGGTTATCAGTGGACACTTTGCGACTTTTTAATCATTGCAAATGTGTCCATGGTAAAAGTCCAATAGATTTTTTTTGGAATCAGAATGTCATGACATCTTAAGAAGTGTGAGTTTATTCTTCGTCTTTGCTATAAACAATGTCGATTGAATTCTATTGTTTACAAAAAAATCACGTAATTTGAGATACTATTTTTGAACTCTTCGAGGGCAAACATCGGGATGTTTAAGTGATTGCCTTTTTAACGAAATAGTCTTCTCGAATCGACGTAGATGAATATCTTTCTACCCGTTAACAAGGAAATGTCATAGGACACAACCTAACGGGTAGAAAATAAAAATTTCTATTACTTTCTACCGATCTTGATCGTCGTGTAGAGATACAAAATTCCAATTCTTACACTAATTAAAAACGCTCAACAGTTTCTCGTTCTTTCCCCCTTTTTGTATCTTAAAATCATGAAAATGTCCACATAGTCTTTTTTTCAAAATGGACGTCATGGCTCTTGTGTTGGTCTTAAAGAATTCACGTCTGAGAGAATGATAGAGTGTATAGAGATGTTTTATCTTAGTCATCTTGACGTACTTACAGCTCCTACATACACATTTCGAAATAAACTAAAAATTTCCCTAAAATAGTTTTAAAAGAATATATTATTTTTATAAGTATATAGATGTGAAATACTCTAATACTACTACATATGTACACATGATGTGTGTTGATTCTATTGAAGGTTGCAATTGCAAAATGTAATTGAAAAATAAAATAATAAAAAGAGTGTTACTCATAGAACAGCAATGCCAAGGTTATGGTTTCCTGGCACTGAAAAAGTGTTACAAAAACCACAAAATTTTGCCACCAGCATTTTTGTTTTGGTATCAAATCAATCAACAATTGCCACCTTCAGTGTATAGAAAACATACAGTATCAGGCCAAAATATCATAATCAATTATGATTAGTTCAAATAACTTCACCATTAGATAGAAACAAATGTCTTTGCTGTTTGATTTTACTATCCATCTACTAATTTCTCTTACTTTGTCAATTAGCTCTAAGCGGAACCGATGAAAATAGTAGTATGATTCAAATTTTGTTTGTAACTTGTATTATTTTGGCATAGTCTTTTTTCCAATTTTGAGTTGATCCCTACTACTTAGCATAACACTTTTGGCTTGATACTTTGTATGTACCAATGTTAACTAACCCCCATCATATGCATATTCCTCTCTTATTTCTTTAATTTTTTTTTTCATTTTCCCCCGTTGTATGTGTGTGTTTAAACATGTTTCTTTTTTGATTTTGGTAATAATTCCATTGTGTTCATATTTAGGGCCTGATGGCAAAGTGGTTTGTGAAAAACGCGATACAAATAGTAAGTAGTTTCGTAACAAACCCAAACGCAATGCATATCTATATAGTGTACTCATATATATACAATTCTACATATATGCTTACAAGCAACAACAACAACAAATATGTTTGGTATACCAAATACCAACAAGATTACAAGTTCATTATTATAGAGTTAATATTCTTAAATATTCCAACAAAAAGGACGATACTTTTTTGCTCTCTTTGGGTGTATACCAATAATTACTTTAGACCGAAAAAGAGTTTTATGACTACACATGTACATTTGTATAAGCAATTCTATTTTTTGTAAGACACTATTTGATTTCATGTTTGCTTTCGAAGCTTATATACAATCAAAATCTTGAAACACAAAATTAATTCTGTTTCATATTTTTTCTTTATAATAATGGACTTGTACGAATTCATTGTTGTAGTACCAACAATATGTCAATATGTTGTATATCACATGCTTTGCAATTTTTTTTATAAAGTATCCAAAGAGCTTTGTGTTTTCGTATACTACCTATTCATACCATTTTTATATGATATATATTTTTTTAATCTGCGTGTGCATTGTTTCCTAAAATTGTGTGCTACTACATACTATATTGAACTCAAAAATATCTGTTAGTTGTACTCCAATGTGAGGGACAAATAATACAATTTGCTGTGTAACAATCATTTAAGAAGATAAAAAAATTATACACATAAACAAATTATAATAGATATAGGTGACATCGGCGTGTTGATTCTAAAGACTTCAATACTCTAAAAACCCTGATTTTTATCATCAATTGAATTCTATGTATGTAATATACATATATTTAAATAAAAATTGGCTTTTAAGGTTCTTGCATTATTTGTAGGTTTTCCAATAATTGCTATCCACCTATAGACTCATAGTAAGGTGTTTTCAGTTTTAACAAGTACCCTCCACAATTCGGAAGGAAAAATTTCAAAAAAGTTCAGTCGGAAAATATCGAAGACGTGGTGCGGGATAAGCGATTTTCTGTCATAGGCTGTAGTAACGATTCCGAACTTCAAATATGAAATTCGAAACAATTACGGTGAATAATGTCTCTAATATCATCAGGATACCGAATAGATGGAGGTACCGTTATATGGGGGATATACAATATCGTGGACCTATATAGAGTAAAGTACACAGAAGGAACTCCTTGTGTGGATTTTAAGCCAATTCCATTGAAAAATGTGGCTAAAATCATAAAAATATCGAATATTGGGAGTACCGTTATATGGGGGCCATTCGATATCGTGGACCGATATAGCTCATCTTCGAACTTGACTTGCCTGCACACAAAAGATTGATCTGTGCAAATTAGCTCTCTGCCTTATATATCCTATCGTTTTGACTCTAGTGTGGTTACAAAAGATGGATAGGACTAAATCGTCCTAGAGTTTTACGCTGATCAAGAATATATATACTTTGTTGGGTCTAAAATTATTATTTCGATGAGTTACAAATGAAATGATGAACTTAATATACCCTCCATATTATGTTTGGTGGAGGGTATCAAAAATGGATAGTTTATATTAGCAACTAAAAATAGTTAAAAATCAGAACACGCTTTTATTATTTCTTCCGTGTTTTAAACTAAATTTTAAAACTGTTTCACAACGCGCCAAAAATTGCCAGGGGTAGTTTATGTATAATTTAAACACAATTTTCAATTTGCTACAAGCAATATGATACGTAAATTTTGAAATGAAATCGGTAGCATAATCCAATGCTTGTTTATCTTCGTACTAAATTTTTTTTCAGGGAAAGCCACAATTTAGATTTATATAATCCCTCCTGTGCGTACCTTCCATAAACAGCATTTTAAGAAACTTAACTAAGGAACGATTTGAATCAGTCTGCTATGTAGCCGACGGGAATCCAAACATAGGGTGTAGGAGGGCCGAATCGTTCCTCAAGATAGCATATAACTGGGTCAGACTATGAGGGCATAAATCTGGAAAAAACGAAAGTTTGTCTATTCAAAATGCAAACTAAGCCTGGGCACTCTGATGAATCAGTTTTTGGAATTAGGCAATAAATATAAAAAATACAAGTGTAATATATTGCCCATGAATCTGCGGGGCAAAAAAAGAGAAAATTACTTTTTAACATTCAATAGATATATAGTTTTGGAGAGAACGGAGCTGGGCCTTTTTGATAGATGACCTGAAAACCACAATCTGCCTTCGTCTATCGGACCATAGCACGGTCCAAACATATATTTTGCCTCTGACCAGCTTTCTCAAATGTCAAGCAACGGTTCTTGGGTAGAGAAACACTTTCAGATCTGGAATTTGCTCAAACTTTGGGCAATAAATTCGGTTTGCTTTGGTTATGTGCAGCTGCGTGGAAGTCGCAAACTGCTTCATTGGTAGACATTTGGTCCATTGTGTTCGTCCTAGGAAAAGTTGTAGTTGTTGATGAAAGGAGAGAGATAGATGAAGGAGAAGGAAGGATTTGTAGAGACAGAGTACAGTTAACAGCGCGGTCTACTTAGCCAGATGTAGATGATGATGATGGAATCTATGTTTGAAAAGAAATTTACTGTTAATATCTCTCATCTGTCAAACAGTCGATGTCTCTTGTTACGTAACATGGGACATCTGTATAATATGTGTTCAATCGTCTCCATCTCTTCTTCATCTTTACGCAGTCTATAGTAGTCAGGAACATTATTGTCCCATCTTGAGGCCATATATCTGTTACTGCAGTGACCAGTCAGTATGCCCACCTCGATTTCTATATCTGAACTACTAGATGTTCTTAGATACCCTGCAACCGGTTTGTAAGTGTCAGCTTCTTCGATAAAACTTTTTGAAGAAATCGACGTAATAGCTTATTTGTGGTTTAACTCATTCATCAATTGACTGGGAACCTCCTAGAGCTAATATATCAGCCACCTCATTCCCAACTATGTTTCTATGTCCTGGAATCCAACAAAGCTCAAGGCAATCACGAATTTCAATAAGGGCTTTCTAACAGACAATAATGATTCTCGATTTGATGGCACTTGACTTGATAGCCTTGAGGGCCGCCTGACTATCGACATATATTGTCATTGGTTTTGTTATGTTATAAACAAGTTCACTTGCTCTTTCGACTGCCTTCTTGATTGTAAGAATTTCCGCCTTAAAAAAAAGTATGGAAGCGGCTCTCTGCAGCGACTCACCCATAGATCAGAACAGATAAGACCACTGTGACGTATATCCAGTGTACGACTTGTGGTCAAAGCTTTCGAATCTTCCCTATGGAATTTCTACATGAATAGGGCTCAGTTAGATCCTTTTTCGTAGGCTCATCGATGTTCTTGCTCCAGTTTCAGTTCAGTCTTTGCAGGGTTAAACCCCAGACCATTGTCGAGGGCCACACCAGACAGCTGTAATAGTTCTTTTTGCATTAGGTCGGAAATAGTTGGAAGAAATCTACCACTTATGAGCACCATTACGTCATCGGCATATGCGAATGCTTTATTGGAAGTTGATTATACTAACCCGTTGGTTTTGTATCTAATAATAAAAATTTATACGTATTATAATCTACACATAAAAATTTAATTAATTGAATAAGGTCCCCATCCTCCATATTTAGGTTATTTTATATGTACCTTTATTTATAAGTGTGTATAAGTCAGTCATATCCCCTGAATCCTAGGATTGTTGAATTACAATTATGTTTGGTACTCACACAAGTTCCAAGATCACATCGTCCTGTGAGTGTATGTCTTCGTCCAAACCACTGTCCGTCTTCAAGCCGCTGTTATATTAACATTGCATTTCTTCAATAGGCATTTTCATTTCCTTTAACTTGCAATTGCTTTTTTTTGTTGTATGTATATAGACGTTGTAGCCATGCATAAACTTAACTAATATCCGTATAGCTTACATCATCTTATAAGCACAGCTACATATCTCAAAACACCCGTTTCAATTGCCATTCGTTTTTTACAGAAGATGAAATCAAGAATGGTGGTGGTAATAATGGCGGTGGAACTATTAAATCGCCCATTAATCGTAATCGCAATGGTTCAACAGCCGAAATGGCTGTGGATCAATTACAGGCCAGTGAAAAATTGATTGCCGGTAAGTTGGAGAGCCATTTGACCCTGATTGTCGAACTTGTAATTTAATATTGTCAAGTTAAAAGTAGTAGTAGATACCTTTTGTTGCATACATGTGAAAATATACGATTACATGCAACCCGGATACAACCCTGAATTTTGAAAAATGTAACAAAGTTGAAGATACGAAGCCAACCTGACAAGGCGTACTAGTTTAAGCTCGTATAATTGATTTTAATAAACGTTTGTGAATTCTTAATTTAATATAAAAACGGTCGTTGTATTTCATTTGAGTATACGGAAACCAACAGACTTCAATCGATCACTTGACATTTTTCTCAGAAGTGGGATACGACAAGTCTTATTGGAAGAAGCGTCTACCAACAAGAAATATGGAGAATTTGCACAAATGCACGGTTAAGCAGTTGCAAGCGAAATGCAGAGAAATTGGTGTTTCTCAAAGTGGTAACAAAAAGCAATTGATCGAACGACTTGAAGTCAACAACGAAAGCGAGCTGCACGGATTCGCATCTCCTCATGATATGCAGGAGCGAATTTCGCATTTGGAAGATATGGTAACTGAATTGCGTTCATCTATGGAGCAACGTGGACAATCAGAATTTGAGCCGAACAACGCATCATCCCCTTTGAACACGTTTTCGACACCGGATGGTAATATGTCCCTGCAAGGCACACGGCCTAGCTTGCCAAACGTGGCAAACGTTGTGACAATATTACCGGAATCACGTTCGATTCCATCGTATGTTCAAACGAATACTTCTTTTGGTGCATTTCAGACTACGTCAACAATTCCAACGGTCCACACGTGTGCTTCTGCTGGTTTACCAACGTTTACACCTTCATTGCACGGACATGCTCAACTTCCACGAAATACAACGCAAAATGTAGCGACGTCATGCTACAACGTACCAACACATATAACGACACATTCGAATTTTACAACAGCAACACCGACAGGAGTGTTCACGCAGCCGAACAATGGATATGTTCAATCAACGCAGCCCTACAACGCATATCTACAACCGCCGATATTTGCAACAAGTGTCTATTCAGCGCCGCCGCAGTCAGAAATAGTTATGCAGCCTTCACAACGTTATGTTCAGCACAACCCCTTTGGGAACGTTAAGGAAATAATTCAACTTTTGCCAGAGTTTAATCCGTCATCTGAAGAATCGATTAATCCTTCACAATTCGTGCGACGTGTGGAATTATTGAAGACAGCTTATAACTGGGACGACGCATCAGTTATATTTGCAGTGCAACAGAAAATGGCTGGCCCAGCCAAGTATTGGGTTGACTCACTGCAAGAGGTATTTCTGTCTTGGCCTCAGTTTGTTAACAAATTTCTTTTAGATTTCCCTCAAAATGTAAATGCAGCCGATGTACACATTAGAATGGCACAGACAAAACGGCAGTTCGACGAAACGCCGCAGGAATATTATTACAGAATGTATGCTATTGGAAAACGGGGCAATATAAATGAATCATCCATAGCACGGCATATAGTCAACGGAATTAATGATCAAGGATTGAAGCAGAAAATATCTAACGAGTATATTACCTGTAATCAACTTTTGAGTGACATCAACGCATACTGTAGTTATAACGAGGTAAGAAGAGTGCTGAACCCGATATCGAATAAGACGAAACGTAGCAATGAAAATAGAACTGCCCCAGAAAGGAAAAGCGATGAAAGAGTGAATAAATTCAAATGTTTTAATTGTGGTAATACTGGTCACAAAGCCGTAGACTGCCCAGATCCACAGAAGAAGAATAGATGTACGATATGCAAACGGACTTCACACGGTGCAAGTGAATGTCCAACAAAAACCCTGAACACAAATGTCAACAATATAAGGGACAGCGTAAAGTCCAACGAAATACTATGTAAACGTGTCAAAGTAAAGGACAAGGAGTTTGAGGCATTTATTGATTCGGGAAGTGATCGGAGTCTGATCAGACGAAGTTTTGCAATGATAATTGGCGAAACGGAAAATTGCAGTATGGTTTTAAATGGCTTTGCTGGTGGCAAATACGAGTGCACAAAGGTGGTTAAAGTGCCAATTGACATTGATGAGACGAGTTACGACGTGAACCTTTATGTTGTGGAAAATTCTATGATCCCGAATGATGTTCTTTTAGGTCGAGATGTTTTATGCCAAAAAGGTCGACGCACCATTATTGAAGGAGATGAGTGTTGGATGCAAAACGTAAATGCGATTAGTATCAACGAAGGCTTAACATCTGAAGAGCATAAGAAGTTGCAGTTGAACATTCAAGAAAACCGACAATGTTTTTCAGAAAAGTCAAGCGAATTGGGTAAGTGTAACTTAGTGAAGATGGAAATCGAAGTTACTACTCCAGAACCAATACGATGCAAGCCATATCGACTAGCATTTGCCAAACGTCCTATTGTGGCAAATATTGTGAAAGACTTACTGGATAACGAAATCATAAGGAAATCGAATTCTCCGTATGCATCGGGAATTGTTTTGGTCGAGAAGAGAAATGGTGAACACCGTTTATGTATAGATTATAGACAGTTGAATCGAATAACCGTACGTATAGCGCATCCTATGCCTGTACTGGATGAACAGATTGCACAACTCGCCGGAAATCGTTATTTCACCACACTCGACTTACGTATGGGTTACCACCAAATTGAAGTAGAGGAAGAATCGAAAAAGTTCACAGCTTTCGTGACTTCAGATGGTCATTATGAATTCAACCGGATGCCATTTGGTTTGGTAAACGCACCTGCAGTTTTTCAGGCAACGATGAACCGAGTTATAAGCTTTATGAAACCAGGAGAAGTTTTAGCGTATCTGGATGACGTCATAATTCCCAGTAAAACAGTCGATGAAGGTCTGGACCGAATAAAAAGATTTTTGGATATCCTTAAGAAATGTGGTCTCACGTTACGATTGGCGAAATGTTCGTTCCTAGCCGAAAAGATTTCTTATTTGGGACACATAGTTACACGTGACGGAATTTTACCTGGAGAAGAAAAAGTAAAAGCGATTAGAAATTTTAAGGTACCAACGAATGTAACAGAAGTACGACGATTCCTTGGCCTAACTAACTTCTTCCGAAAATTTGTAAAGGATTATGCAGCCATTACGAAACCTCTTGCGATGTTGACACGAAAGAGCGAAGAGAATAAATTTCGTTGGGACGTACACCATGAAAACGCATTCAGAAGTTTAATCCAAATTTTGTGTAGTGAACCAGTTTTAGCAATCTACGATATGAAAGCAGATCACGAGGTGCACACGGACGCTAGCAGTCTCGGATTAGCAGGAGTGTTATTACAGTCCGATGGTAATGGTAATTGGCAACCAGTGTTTTATTTTAGCCGCCACTGTTCTGAAACGGAATCGAAATATCACAGTTACGAGCTGGAAGTTTTAGCTGTGGTTGAAACGGTGCAGCGTTTCCGTATATATTTACTTGGAAAGCCATTCCGAATCGTCACTGATTGTGCCGCAATTACTAATGTGAAGACAACGAAGGAATTACAACCTCGAGTAGCACGATGGCTGATGAAATTACTTGAATTTGATTGTGAGTATGTACACCGACAAGGGTCACGTATGGCTCACGTTGATGCTCTCAGCCGTTCACCGGATCAGCCACAGACGGAGATTGAACCAGCAGGGTTCATAATGAATATTGATAGCGATGATTGGATTCTCACGATGCAGCTAAACGACGACCACATAAAGAATATTATGAGAGTACTGCGAAATGAATTGAAATCTGAGCAAGAGAAACAGATAAAATCTGAATACTTATTGGAAAAACATCGACTATACCGGAAAACGAAAAATGGACTACGATTGGTCATACCGAAGGCTATACGATGGCGCATAGCTAAATACTGTCATGATGATATTGGCCATTACGGGTTGGAGAAAAGCCTCTCACGAGTCGAACAAACGTTTTGGTTCCCCCGCATGAGGAAATATATGAAGGAGTACATTGCAGCGTGTGTAGAGTGTTGCTACAACAAGGCAAAAGGTGGTAAACACGAAGGAGCTCTACATTTTAGTAATGTCGAACCGCTACCATTTAGGCAAGTACATATTGATCACTTGGGACCGTTTATAAGAAGCAAGCATGGTCATACACATATAGTGGCAATCGCCGATTCCTTTACGAAATTTGTGGTTATTAAAGCTGTAAGGAATACGAAGACATTGCCCGTCATCAACGTTTTAAATGAGGTTAGTGGATACTTTGGTTTACCTCGAAGAATAATTTCGGACCGTGGGACAGCTTTTACGTCAAAAATGTTTGAGGAATATTGCGATCGAAACAATATTCAACACATTAAGAATGCCGTTCGTACACCAAGAGCCAATGGACAAGTTGAGAGGGTCAATCAACTTATCCTGTCTTATTTACGAACTACCACTGAAGAACCGAAGGATTGGGACTCGGCACTTCACGTTTTACAATGGCCAATCAATTCAACCAAAAATTCGACAACAGGTTACAGTCCGAATGAGTTGATTTTCGATTACAAGCCCACCGACTTAATACAAAACCGATTGTTAGCAGCTGTACAAGATGATGTACAAAACGAAGAAATTTCCATCAACGAAAAACGTATCATGGCCGCAGAAAACATCAAAAGCGAACGAGAACGATGGAAGAAAAGATTTGACAGCAAGCATTCGAATCCGAAATTGTATGTGGAAGGTGACTTGATCCTCATACAGAATGAACCACCAGCGACAGGTGAATCCCGGAAGTTAGAACCTAAATACAAAGGTCCATACATAATAGCACGAGTATTGGGCAACGACAGGTACCTGATAGAGGACATTCCTGGAATAAACATCACGAATAGGAAATTCTGTTCCGTATTCAGTTCCGACAAGTTGAAGAAATGGTGTGAATGTTCCCCCGAATTGGATGTTTCAAGCGAAGATGAAGCCGAGGACGACTTCAGGTCAGGAAAGGCCGAGTTGTCAAGTTAAAAGTAGTAGTAGATACCTTTTGTTGCATACATGTGAAAATATACGATTACATGCAACCCGGATACAACCCTGAATTTTGAAAAATGTAACAAAGTTGAAGATACGAAGCCAACCTGACAAGGCGTACTAGTTTAAGCTCGTATAATTGATTTTAATAAACGTTTGTGAATTCTTAATTTAATATAAAAACGGTCGTTGTATTTCATTTGAGTATACGGAAACCAACAGACTTCAATCGATCACTTGACAATATAATTTATTCATTTTTATCCCCTCTTTAGAGCTTAATGAAACCTGGGAGGAGAAACTTAAACGTACCGAAGAGATTCGTCTACAGCGTGAAGCAGTATTTGCCGAAATGGGTGTAGCGGTCAAAGAGGATGGCATGACTGTTGGTGTTTTCTCGCCCAAGAAAACTCCCCATTTGGTGAACTTGAATGAGGATCCCAATTTGTCGGAATGTCTGTTGTATTACATCAAAGATGGTATTACTCGTTTGGGTACCCATGAGGCCAATGTGCCACAGGATATTCAACTGTGCGGTTCACACATCCTGAAAGAACACTGCACTTTTGAGAATCGCAACAATGTTGTCACCTTGATACCCCACAAAGACGCTTTGGTCTATTTGAACGGTCGCCAGATGGTCGAGCCACAAGTGTTGAGAACTGGATCGCGTGTTATTTTGGGCAAAAATCATGTATTCCGTTTTACAAATCCCGAGCAGGCTCGTGAAATACGTGAAAAAATTGTCGAAAACGCCGAGAATGAAAATGAGAACGAGAAATGTGATACTCAAGAGGTCGATTGGAATTTCGCTCAATGTGAATTGCTGGAAAAACAGGGTATTGATTTGAAAGCTGAAATGAAGAAGCGTTTAGATGTCCTGGAAGAACAGTATAAGCGTGAAAAACTACAGGCCGATCAAGAGTTTGAGGAGCAACGTAAGGTAGGGCAATGGAAAGAGTTACATCTTAATTAGAAACATGCAAACTTTAAATTCTTATTTTGTTTAATTCCAGTCATATGAGGCTCGTATTGATGCTTTGCAAAAACAAGTGGAAGAACAATCGATGACCATGTCTATGTACAGCAGCTACACCCCAGAAGATTTGCAAGATGAAGAGGTTTACTGTAAGTTGTCTTTGTAGTCTAGTTCGCCTTGGATGAAACCTAAACCTCTGTGGTTCTCTTTTCCCATAGCTAATCCAGCCTATGAATCATGTTGGAACGCACGCGAGGCTGGCCTGGCTGCCTGGGCCTTCCGCAAATGGCGTTATCATCAATTTACCTCACTGCGTGATGATTTATGGGGCAATGCCATATTCCTCAAAGAGGCCAACGCTATTTCCGTCGAATTGAAAAAGAAGGTGCAATTCCAATTCACTCTTCTCACCGACACTCTGTATTCACCTTTGCCACCGGAGTTGGCCTCGTCTGCATCTCCTCTCCAGACTGAAGATGAATTCGGTACTCCACCAGTATCGAAAACCTTGGTTGCCGTGGAAGTTACCGATACAAAGAATGGTGCCACACATTACTGGTCCTTGGAGAAGTTACGGTAAGCTGTTAGTTTGTTTTGATCCCCCCTCTCCCCAGATATGTGTTCTAGTTTTTTGCGGGAGACATTTTTGTTTTATTAACCTCTTGTTTTCTTCTCACAACCATTGTTTGTTTTAAAGAGCAAAATTTTTTGTATTTAAATTGTTTTTAAACTTGTTTCAATAGTTATTTTTAGTTTCAAAATTAGTTTTTCTTTTCCATCATAACCTCAAAGGCTTCTTCAGTTTTGATAATTGTTTAAGCTGTTTTTTTTTTTAGAAAAACCTTTTTTTTTGTATAGAAAATTTTTCCAATATCAATGATTTTGAACGTGCATGGTGGTTGTTTTCTTGATTTGAAGTATTATCCAAAAAAGTTGTTATTTCTATGTGTGATTCTAAAGGCTTGCTTTGGGATATAAATATAATAGACTTGATCGTTGACACCAACCTAGAAAATATTATGGCAGATATTTCGAGATAATATTCCACTATAATTGTTGACTAGCGACTGTAAAATTTGTTCACTGAAAATCGTCTGAAATTTTGTGGAGGGAGGGGGATATAGTTTCCTTTTCTTTTTGAGGTAGAACTAAACTTCGCAGGTTTGAAAAGAAAATGTTAAAATTTCCCATTGGTCCAACAAGTATTTATTTGTAAATCGTTTTAAAAATGTCACATAAAACATCATCGATTGTAGCATAATTTGTTTGTAGAAATGTAGAATTACAAATGTGTGTGATTTATCTTTCTTGAGATTCCTATTGATATTAAAATATTATTGGGACAAAAGGCAACGTAAAAATAAAAATGAAAATTCATACCATTTTGTTTGACATAAATATTGAGCTTTGAAAATTGTTAAAACTTCACACTGTAACCACCATAACACGACTCATTTCACCGTCCTTATTTTTCATTGGTTATTCATTTATTTTTGCTTCAGTTCTTTTAATTTCATAGAAGAAACTATTTGTTTATCTGTCTCTAGACTATATGTTTCATTTTTGCTTTCATTCTCTGAGGAAAATTATTTTATTTGTTTTCTTCATTTTCTTTAATACACAAAAACAAAAAATCAAACGAAACCCAATACTCTCATTATACAACAAATACATATCGATGAATACTATTTAACAAAAACAAAACAAAACTCAATAAAATAAATAGTTATCGCTTGGAGATGATGCGACAAATTTACAATGTGGAGTCACCACCATCCTCAATGCTCTATGATACCTCAGCCCTAACTGACGGTTCATCCATACAAAATTCAGCTTGTACTCCCAACAACAATACCGACATTAATGTCCCCCATCCTTCGGAATCATTGTCGTCCAGTTCGTCAACGCCATCGTCGTCGATGTTGAGTGAGGCAACGACTGAGTGTTGTAATCGATTGCAAGAATTTGCTCTGAACGGTTATTTGGGAAATGTTGTGAAACAACATCAGCTACAGCGTCAACAACAGCAACAGCAACAACAATCCAATTTCCATCTACAAAAACATCAACAGCAACAACCATCACCTTCAAAATCGAATCAATTGAAATCAAACAGCAATTCACCATCCCGTCTATCATTGGCTAATCTTATGCCCTCTAGGTTGGCTTTAATTTTTTCGAGGTTCCTTTTATTTTCTACTCTACATCTATATTATTCCAAACTTATTTGTGTCTTTGTTTTTCAGTTTCACTTTTTAATTATTATTATTATTTTTTTTAATTTTAGTTTGCAAAAAGTCTGTTTTTAATGTATTGCCTAGTTGAATGTTTATATTTGGGTTTGGATTGCAGTATACTTTGAATTGAAACTTTGGTTGAAATGATTGAAACTATTCTTCTGAATAAAGCACAATTATTTGGGACTCATATTGGGAACACAAAACACTGCCAAATCATCTTAAGTTTTTATAAGAGGGCCGACATAAAAGGCCGACATTCAACTGGAATAGTTAGAATTGTACTCTTCATCAAAGTCCTGTAGCATACATTCATGCAAATATTTTCCAGAGATAAAAAAAAACATACCCATACACTTCTATCTTTAAGAATCTTTCTTGATCACAAAAAACTATTAGCGTATGAATAACAAGACGTTGATAATAACAAAAATATCATTACAATTGATGAATATACACAAATTGTATTCAATTATTATTGACCTTTCTAGGGAATAACAAAAACAAATGTTCCTAATACTTCTGTTGAAGTTGGTTTCTGTGAGCATTCCATTAAAAATAAATACATCTAACAAATTTGGGAATTTCATTTCAATATTTTAACACAATAGTATTTTGCATGCTTTATTTAAAGTTTTAAAGTTTTTGCTTATGTTTTATTAATTGTTGTGTGCCTTTGAGGAAAATATTATTTGCAAGTATATAACAATATTGCATGAAATATATTTAATTAGTTTAATTAGAGTTTGAAATACATGTATATACAATGTTTAAATTATCTAATAGGAATAGGAAATAGGAGTACAATTTGTGCAAAGAAGAGAAATACCAGATTTTGGCCCATTCATTTTAGGAAAATAATTCTTCTGATATAATACCCTTGTGTATATAATCCTTACCCAAAATTCGTAGATAACAGTTTAAAGTTAGTCGTCTGTAACATCCCTAAATATTCGTCGTAGACTCCATAAAGTATATATATTTATGATCTGCACACAATTCAAAATCGATTTAACGATGTCCGTCTGTCTGTTGAAATCACTATACAGCCCACCTATTTGACGTAGAGCTAAAAAATTTGGCAGAACAATTTGTATTATGTCTAAGATGGTTGGTATTGAAAATGAGATATATCGGTCTAGGTTTTGGTATAGCCGCCACATTCTTGGCACATTTTTCAACGGATTTGTCTAAAACTTGGTATTTGTAGGTCATAATGGGTTCTAGCTCTGGTGGCGAAACAACGAATGTATAGGTCAACGTTTTTGTATAGCCCCATGTAACGATACCTCCCGATATTCGGTATTTTGATAATTTTTGCCATATTTTCCACGGATTTGTTTAAATATGGTATTTATAGTTCATAATGAGTTCTAGCTCCGATGGCAGAACATTAAATATTGAGGTCCACGTTTTCCTATAGCGTACATATAACGATAACCACCGATATTCGATATTTTGATAATCCTAGTCACATTTACGCACGAAATTGTTTAAATTTGGTATTTAAGAAGATTTGGTAGATGACAATCTTTGAAGTATAAAATTGTCTATAGAGGTTCCCGTTTTGGTAGGGCCCCATATAACGGCCTCACCCACTTTATGGCTTTTTAAAATGTGTAACAGCAATATACAAACGGTCTTACTGGTATTTGTAGTTTAAAGTGGAACTCGTTTGAATTCAGATACTTTTATCTAAAATGTTTTCTTTACCCAATGGTGGAGGGTATTAAAAGTTCGGCCTTAAAAAAAACTTAATGGTTTTTTACTTGTTTTTTTTTTTTCAAAATTACAGAATAAACTCAGTAAACGGTGAAAGTAGATGTAAAAATAGAAGACACGTTATGAAAGTTGCAAAGTAACTTAAATAGGAGTACTTTTTATGGTACAAGGTACAAAAATTTAATTCTTTTGGGGCCCCTTGATTATTTACATATTTAGTCACCGAATCCTTCAGTTCAATGTTTCTGTCTTTCAGCAGATCCATATTTATGCCAGGAATACCTTGCGGTTGTTGTTACGTTTGAAGGAGCTTCTTATCTTAAGAAGACCCGTTTCACTTTCCATCTTTGAACCATCAGAGTAGACGGTTTTCGACCTCGCCCCTTATGTGCTACACATGCCCTAGAATCGTAGAGTCCCAGGTCGCACCGGTCTGCCTGTTCTGTGTTAGGTTAAAAGATGCGCGGTTGTATAAACAACCACACCACTCGGAGACCTTTTGGTCCATTGTGTTCATCCTAATTTAAGAAGATAGGAGAATAGAATAGAGAGAAGAAAAGGAAATGAATAGCGGATAGTGAAGAAGTGAGAATCTGAATAAAGAGTAGAGGGGTTAGTAGGTTTGCATCCACGGTGCATCAGCGTGTCGTCCTTAGTCATTTTAGTCTTCTGGCTAAATGAAGAATGACCACTGGCTCGATGTCGGAGAGGGAGGACAAATCTGCCAGAAATTGCTTACCTAGAAGCCTCTGTCTCACTCCTATAAGAGTTGGGCAGTGGCAGAGTAAGTGCTCCACCGTCTCAGTTTCTTCCTCGTCCTGACAAAGCCTGCAGAATTCAGTGTCGTCACCCTCCCCCCATTTGTATGTCATGGCCTTCATGTTGCAGTGTCCTGTAATTAGACCCACCAAAAGCTTCAACTCCAGCTTCGTCATGGATATGAGTGACCTTGTTCTCCTTTTGGAGTTCACCGGCCAAATCTTTTTGGAGACATTACATCCTCTTCCAGTTAGCCAGTTCTGTTGAAATTTCCCAAGATAATGCTTATGCAGTACTTGGAAGAAGTGACATAAGGGTGGCTTCACTGAGCCCCCAATCTCTAGATCTACTGACTCAGATCCGCGTCTGGCCAATTCATTGCCAGATATGTTACAGTGCCCAGGGACCCAACAGAATTTAACAAACGATTTAACCTTTTCCAGAGCATTCCTGCATGCTTCCCACATACTTGAGAATGACGGACGGTGTCAAAGGGATGACTCCGCCATTGTCCCAGTTCATTAAGTCGCAGGGTACACCTAGCATCGTCTTCCTCTACAAATAAACCTAACGGTTTTAAATTGAGTAGGGTGTCGAGTGCGGAATGGGGTGTGCTCCTAAACGTGCATGTAATTAGTAGCGATGCAACTCTTTGGACTTTATCAATTTTTTTACTGAAAGTGGTTTTCCCTAAGGAGTGGCATCAAATAAGCCCCCCATAGGTTAGAATTGGTCGGACGACAAACTCATATAACCATTTAATTATGTGAGGCTTGAGACCCCAGCCTTTTCCTATGGAGTTTTTGCAGGAATAAAGAGCAATTAAGGCCTTCTTCGCTCGCTCCTGCAGCTTGTGATGCACACCATAATGCAACTGTCATCAATAGAGATTCCGCTCTTTTATAGTATGATTTTGTAAGGTCGTATATCTATTGAATTATATGCTGTTTTAGGCCCCAGTTCTTACCTATAGAGAGTTGAAAGAATAAAGTGACATTAAGCTAATCTTCGAACGCTTCTCGATATTCCTCTACAAAAAATATATTCAAAATTAAAAATAAAACATTTTAAACTTTTCACAAAGTTAGAAATGTTCGGAATTAGCTTATGATGCCACTGTGCAGCAATCAATCTGGGGTGTGGGATATTCCAATTGGATTTGATAGTATTCGGATTATAGATCAAACCTCCAAAAGAGTTTTGGATTTTATAGACAAACTGTTTGAGAATTTGATATTTTGAGTTTTTATTATATGGAAACCTTCTCAGTAAAAAAGTATTATAAAGGTACAGGTATTACATTATTTATCCTATTCTCGATGAAATTAAAAATCACATAAAAATATTTTTTAAATATCATATGGCTGATTACTTAATTACTTTCAGTTGCATATTACTATTATAAACACCTGCTTCATTGGTTTTTATATAAACATATTTTAGCAAAGCATATATGAAATAATATTTGTACTTGGACTTCAATTTTATTAAAATTCCCAATACTTTATTTGCAGACAACGATTGGAGTTGATGCGTGAAATGTATCACAATGAAGCCGAACTCAGTCCATCGTCGCCCGATTACAATGTTGAATCTCTCACAGGCGGTGATCCATTCTACGATCGTTTCCCATGGTTCCGTATGGTGGGTCGATCATTTGTCTACTTGAGCAATCTCTTGTATCCGGTTCCATTGGTTCACAAGGTGGCCATTGTCAATGAACGTGGTGATGTTCGTGGCTATTTGCGTATTGCCGTACAACCAGTTTTGGTAAGTGATGATGAGAAGTTTTATTAAAACGAAGTAGATATCACAAAAACGTATTTCTTTTTCACTGACAATAGGATGAGGAATCGTTGGATTTCAATAATGGTGTGAAACAGTCGGCTCGCTTGATATTCAATGAAGACGATGCCAAGCCCCGCTATAGAGCTTTGAATGACAAGGATGATGTGCAGCGTTACATTGAGAATGGCAGTGCTTTGGATAGCAAACTTGAAGGTTGGTAATGCACGAATTTATTTTTAGATCGTACGTGAAATCTTCTATTTTTTCCAGAACTGGGAGATGTCGACTCTGGCCGCGGCATTGATTCCAACTCGGCATCGGAATGTCAGGAGGCCCAGGATGAACCTGGTGAACACTTACAAATTGGCAAAGAATTTACATTCCGTGTTACAGTATTGCAGGCTACTGGTATTGGAGCTGAATATGCAGATATTTTCTGCCAATTCAAGTATGATGTTTATTCTCTATACGAATTTTGTAGAATTGAATCTAAATTTTCTTTGTCATTATTGCAGTTTCTTACATCGTCACGAAGAGGCATTCTCCACTGAGCCTGTGAAGAACTCGGCCGGTGATCGATTGGGTTTCTATCATGTGCAGAATGTAAGTGCTTTTGTTTTGATTTCTTTTCTGGACACATTAAAATTCCTTGGCCTTTTTACTAGATTACTGTTCCCGTTACCAAATCTTTCATTGAATATTTGAAAACACAACCGATTATGTTTAAAGTTTTTGGCCACTATCAGACACATCCTTTGCACAAGGATGCCAAACAGGAATTCGTATCACGACCACCACCAAGACGCATGTTACCACCAAGCATACCCATTTCACAGCCAGTACGCAGTCCCAAATTTGGACCGCTGCCATGTCCTCCATCGTCGACAGTCTTGGCAAAACATGATGTTTTGGTGTGGTTTGAAATATGCGAATTGGCGCCCAATGGCGAATATGTGCCGGCGGTAAGTGGGGGTGGAAATAATTAAACTTGTTATGTGATATTATCCTCAATTTGTTTTCCCTTTTTAAACGCTAGGTTGTTGAACATAGCGATGATCTTCCTTGCCGTGGCCTATTCCTATTGCATCAAGGCATTCAGCGACGTATACGCATTACCATTGTCCACGAACCAACACCCGAAGTGAAATGGAAGGATATTCGCGAATTAGTTGTGGGACGCATACGCAATACCCCTGAATCGTCCGAGGACGATGAGGATTCATGTGTTTTGTCTTTGGGTCTGTTCCCTGGCGAAGCCATCGAAGTGCCCGGTGATGATCGGTCATTCTTTAGATTTGAAGCAGCTTGGGATTCGAGTCTCCATAATTCTGCATTGTTGAATCGGGTGTCACAGGGTGGTGAAACAGTTTACATAACACTGAGTGCTTACTTGGAGGTATGGAAGTGGAACTAATCTCTTAGAAGCGAAAACCTTAATTTTAATTTATTTCCAGTTGGAGAATTGTGCTCGTCCAGCTATTATTACAAAAGATTTGAGCATGATCATTTATGGTCGTGATGCTCGTACCGGTCCACGTTCGTTGAAACATCTATTCTCTGGTCAATATCGTAATCCAGAGGCAAATCGTTTGTCGGGCGTTTATGAATTATCATTAAGAAGAGCATCTGATGCAGGTAGTCCAGGTAGAAGTTCTAAATGTAGTCGTTGCTGTTATCATTGTGTGTTTATGTTGCTTTAAAATTGTTGATATTATGCCGTTAGCTTACTTAGAGATAGGAACTTAATGTTTTAGAAATGACTGAGAAGTTTCAATCAACTATAATTATTCTTTTAAATACATAACTGAAATCCTTATAAATTTTCAGAATTACAAAAAAGCAGATTATAATGTAAGAGAAAATGTTAGTTCTGCATATTTTGTGGGAAATTCTTTTAATCACATTACAAGGATTAGTATTGATTTGAAATAAATTAAAAGGGCAAAACTAAAATAAAAAAATAATAAAAATTCCACTGAATCCGAGTGGTATTTTTAGTGTACAATCAACTAGATTTTGTCACCATAAAGCATTCAAATCGTCTTCAGAAGATGCACAACAAAATTTGTATGGGTTGGAAGCAAAATAGTTGTTGTAGAAAGAAGCTTTACCAAAACTAGAGTCCATCTTGGCTTAACTAACATTTGATCTTCGCCTCAACAAAGCATAGCTCAAAAAATTAAAAACAAAACTCTTCCCATATAAGTTTTTGCTCCAGGCTTTAACCAACAAAATTTTACAGTCACTTTTATCAAACTTTTCAATATTAGTACCCAAAAATTAAATATTATGATGATATTGTACCAAATTGTACCAAATATAGAAAGGCTATTTTAATTAAGAGCTTTTTATCAAATATGCTTCTCACAAGAAAGTCAAACGGCTTAATTAAAATGATTTCAATGCTTAGTTTCGTTGGTACTGTTGAACTTTTTTTAATTATTATTTTGAATTCGTTCTTTTTGAACCGTATTTTTTATACATAATTCTTTTTTCAAATTCCCAAAGGTGTTCAACGCCGACAACGTCGCGTCCTTGATACTAGCTCAACCTATGTCCGCGGTGAAGAAAACTTACATGGCTGGCGTCCACGTGGTGATTCGCTCATCTTCGATCATCAATGGGAACTTGAGAAATTGACACGCCTCGAAGAGGTGGGACGAGTTCGTCATTTGTTATTGTTGCGTGAACGCTTGGGCATGGACACAAATCCAAATCCAACAACAAAAACCGAAAAGGATGTGTGCAATTTGGCAGCTAAAGCGGCAACATCGCCTGTACATATGGTCATACCACCATCACCACAGACCCCAGTAAAGGACTCACAACAAATACTACCTGAGCGTGAGTACAATGAACGTGAAATCGAGCTGATGAACAAATGCTTAAAACTAATACAAGGTATGGCAATCAATGAGGTTGTGTTGAAATGGATATACTTTTAATGCATTGTATTTGATTTCAGGCCGCAGCAACAAATCAGATAATAATGATAACCAATCACAATCGGATGTGTCGCCCAGCGATGAAGGATGTGCTGATATGACTGTCAGCTGCATATCCAGCAGTTCCATAGAGTAAGTATGAAATGAAAAATGATATAAGGCATTAAATATAATATAATGCGGGAATGTATGGAAACATCTTGTCAGGAAGAAATGTTGTTTTAAAGAAAATGTTTTTAATACAGGGGGCATTTTCCTGGAATAGTTAAAGAAGTCAAAATGGAGTAGAAATTTATTCATGAAAGAGCATTTAATATATTAAATTGACGTTGAGGATGACTTCTAAGTTTCGAATCCTTCACGATCTTCACCAAAGGTTGTTGCCGAATCACCTTTTCAAGTGAACCTGGACACTCTTTACAGGGACCGCAACTGTTTTAGGGAGAAATCCTCCTTACAAACATCATAGAGAATTGAAAATTCGAGCTGCAGAAGTGTTTTTTTTGATCCAGGATTCGCCGAGAATCGAGAAATCGGAACCAAGACGCTCCAGGGCGAGTATTTTAGTTAGGCAGATCATGAAGACCATTCATGATTTATATAAGGGGAGAATAATAACTCTGCGTTGTTGTGCACCCACATTGATGGATCCGATGCTTATCGCGAATCGTAAGAAGTCACAAGCCCTTGACGAATTCCTTGTTTCGCCCTCTGGGTCTACAGGGCTTCATGTTTCACGTTGAACAATCACCGATATATGTGTGAACGCCAGTCTTATGTGGATTTCCAGAACAGGAAGTTCAACCACCATAGAATGAAATAGGAAGTTCCTCAAAAACGGATGATATCTTAGGAGGTCAAACCTCAGCCTAAGTTAGGTTAGGGAAGGAAACGAATAGTGGAGAAGCGTAAATTTGATGATAGGAATATATAAGTTAGTAGGTTCGTATTCACGGTGAAATCAGCGTGTCTTCCTTATCCATTTTAGTCTTCTGGCTAACTAAAGAATTACCGCTGGCTCGGTTTCGGAGAGGGAGGACAAGTCGGGCGGTCTCACTCCGATAAGAGTTGAAAGTGGCAGTGTAAGTGCTCCACCCTTTCAGTTTCCTCCTCGTCCTGACAAAGCCTGCAGTATTTAGTATTGTCACCTCTCCCCATCTGGAAGTCATGGCCCTTATGTTGCAGTGTCCTGTAATTTGGCCCACCACAAACTTCAAGCCCGATTTCGTCATGGATATGGGTGACCTTGATCTCCTTTCGAAGTTCACCGGCCAAGTCTTTTTGAAGACATTACATCCCCTTCCAGTTAGGTAGTGCTGTTTAAAACTCCCAAGATAATGTTTATGCAGTATTTGAAAGAAGTGGCATTCACTGAGCTCTTAATCTCTACATCTAATGACTCATCTGCCGATTCATGGCCAGATATGTTGTAGTGTCCAGGGACGCAACAGAGTTTGACAAGCGAATTAACCTTTTCTAGAGCATTCTTGCAATGCAGAACTGCCATAGATTTGATTTTAAAAGAATTTAGAGCCTTCAGGGCTGCTTGACTATCGACATATATCGTTGACGAGATATATATATGTTTGGCTGATTTTCTTCCACACTGAACTTGTCGCCTTCTTCCAATCGAGGATTATGAAGATATCCGCCACATGGACTGTGTAGATGGAAACACAGGTAAATGTGCAGGTCGAGGGACATTTAATTCCGGGCAGAAACCTCATTAAGATCCTAGGGGTCACACTCAACAGCATGTTCAAGTCTCCGTATGGATGACATATGTGTTCGGCTGCATTTCTTTTTTACTGAACTTGCCGGCTTCTTCCAAGCAAGGAATGCGCCACAGGGTCTACAGAGAAAGGCATACAGCTGGTCGTAGATATTTAATTCCGACCAGAACCCTCCCCAAGATCCTACCAATGCATTCACCGTTTTTATTAACCAATACAGTATCAATGTCATCCTCGGTCTCTACATCCCCTCTATTGCAGCTAAAGAACGTCGATTGTCTTCACAATCGTGAAGTCGTCCCAATGCGTTTAGGCGCGAATTGTTAGATTGTGCGAAACGTATGCCCAGCATGCGATACAGTGTGCTAACTACTCTGCCAAAATTTCCCAATTTGGCCACATCCTATTAAAGAGACCGAAATTTTGAATTTGACGACAATAAAGTAAACCGGGTCAACGATTCTTCGAACTTTGCTGAAGTGTTGTTCTTTCGACATCTACGAACTGTATGGCATGACTAACAAGTGGGAAGTCTGTGTTGATGACTAGTAATGCCCATGGCTATATAATTGCGGAATGTTAATCATTCCTTGACTTTGCAGAAAATCCAAAGATTATTGTTTTTCCACTCAAGTTGCGATATCCTTTTATATTACTCGGGTTTACAAAAGAACATTATGGTTTAAATGTGTCATTGAGCCGTGGACATAGAGAGAAATAGAAAAAATCATTTTAAAGGGAGCCAAATGCACAAAATATGAATTGTCTAAAAATTGAACATTTCGTTTAACCTGGACCTATAAGCACGACCATAATGGGTTCTGTTAGGTTTTGTAAAGGATACAAAACAATTTGATCGTCTTTTTGCTGACCTTAGCAACAATAGTGTTCTTAAATTAGCTGAGAAAAATCGATATTCATATCACTTTACTCAGATTATGGGCTTGTCTATACATCGTGATTCTACTAACTAATGAGTTATAAAACTCACCTCTGCCGTGTTTGTGTTTCATTCACAAGCAAAGTGCTGCCTGCGAATAGTTTGTGATACATCCGCAATCACTTGCACCCTGGCTTTGTATTACATTGGATCAGTTTTTTATATGTGTCTCTAAAATACAATTGCTTCATTCTTAAATAAAACTGGAAGGTCATGAAAACTAAATAAAAAACTTTATAATATTGATTGATTTATCTTACTTTCTTTAACTTTGTAAACTTTTTCTTTTTTTCATATTTGTGTGTGTATTTAAATAAAAAAAACTCTTCTTTGGTTACTACTGTATTAGACGAAGGTAAAATTTTCAATTTCTTTTTTTCGTTTTTGTTTACTTGTTCAATTTTGTTACGTTGTTTTCACACCAATTTCCCTATTTCAATGTGGCAGCTTCTGTTTTATTTTCATCTGTGTAGTCATTCTTAATTTTCCTTTAATAAAAACCACTTAACTAATACTTCATAACAAAATTATGTAAAATTGCTTAAAAATGCTGCAACAAATATTTATCGAAACTAATATTCTAAATGTTACTTGTTACACAAAAAAAGGAAAACCTTACCTCTTAAGCACAGTAATTTAACATTTTATTTCTTTATCCTCTAGATTATGCTCTCCCGATCGATCGGATGCCCCCAATGGCTGGGAAGCTCCAGCCCCGGCTACTCAACCAGCTCTCCCTCTACGCTTGTATGTACCCGAATTGGAGGAGATTCGTGTCAGTCCTGTGGTGGCCCGCAAGGGTTTGTTGAATGTGTTGGAACATGGCGGTTCCGGTTGGAAGAAACGCTGGGTGGTATGTAACCAAATTTAAGCGATGCAGGCAGCATTTCAAATTAATTTTTTATTACAATGTATTTTCATATTTCAGATTGTTCGCCGTCCTTATGTTTTTATTTACAAATCTGAAAAAGATCCGGTTGAACGTGCAATCTTGAATTTGGGTACAGCTCAAGTTGAGTGCAGCGAAGATCAAGCAGCCATGGTTAAGATTCCAAATACATTCAGGTAGGTTGTCAAATATAAAAGGAACCTTATGAAGACCAACTGTAATCGATTTGATTGTTTTTGTTTTTATTTCTTTAGCGTTGTAACCAAACACCGTGGTTATCTCTTGCAAACCCTTGGCGACAAAGAAGTCCATGATTGGCTGTATGCCATTAATCCATTGTTGGCTGGGCAAATCAGGTATGCAGCAACACCCATATAAAGTGGTATATCTCTAATCTCAATTATACCTTTGCATTACAGATCTCGTTTAGCGCGACGCACACAAGAGACCGCCTCACAAACAGCTTCACAGATCCAGGCTACAATTGCCACAAACACCGGAAGTAATAATAAATGAGATACGATTACGATGGAATCCGTTTTAGTATATTGAACAAATTCTATCCTCACAAAACTCCATAACAACATTTAACACATAAGGATAGCAGTCATGGACTTTGGATCTTGTCAAGGAGTGCCAGTATGGAAATGGGCAAGGACTTTGTTAAAAGACCAAAAAAATAACAAAAGGAAAAAATATCTTCTACAACTATCTAAAATGCAAAAAATAAACGGATTCCATCGATGATGATAATAAGATTTGAAACAAATAACAACAACAAAATTGAAATGCAGGCATTGATTGTTTACATTTATATTTAACAAAAAAAGGGAAAGAATAAGAACACCCAAAGATTAATTATAATTAAAATATATAAAGTCTAAAGAAACAAAACTTATTCGAATTATATTTAAACAAACCCCTCCCAGAAAAGAAGAAACAAAACAAAAATTAAATTTAAGAACAAACAAAAGAAATGTATTTTACAAAGCATCAAAGTCGGCAGCAAAGGTTCGAATTTTTGGAAAAGTATATTAAAACAAAATAATTATTTATAAAGAATCTCTATAAATGTTTCCAAGAAAAACAGAAAGTAAGGAAATTCACCATAACCACAAAAGAACGCTAACAAAGTTTATTATAAAACCGAAGCCTCATGATCAATAACAATTATTTCAACTAATAAGAACTACCAGAACAACCCAAAAGCATACAGCAAAGATATGCAAATCCCAATCAAATGCTAAACTACAAATTAATTGATGTGTAATATGTTTCTTCCCCTTCGCCGTTCCCGCCCCTTAGAACATTCTATGTTTAAATTAATGTTAATGTATTTATTAATTCATTTATCTTTTCTCGGCATCTACAAGAAAACAAAGAAAAACACAAATAATGCAAAGTTAAACGCAAAGAAAGTAAATAATATTATTATTTCTAAATGTAAGCAAATTTTTGTCAAAATTTATTATTATTACAACTACAATTATTATTATTATTACTTATACTATACGAAACACATATTTAAAACCGAAAAAATGCTTTATTGTTGGTTATAATTAAAAGAATGAAGAACTTAAAAGAAACCCCTAAAAAAACTAAAGAAATTAAGAGGAAGCAGTAGAAGAAAATGTGCAGCAGATTTTTATTAGTAATTTATTATTGATATTATTTATGAATTAAGATCAGTTGTGTGTAAATTAAAGGCAGTATTGAGGAAGCACGTAAAGACAATATATCAAACAATAAAATGATGGCTAGTCAAATTAGAGCGGAGATATTCTTCCACCCACCCAGAACGAGCAAGAATTCACATTATACATAGTTGTTGTAATTTTTAATTCTATTTTCCATGTTGCTGTATATAGACTACATATAGCTGTCATCAAAATAGTAATGCCTTATTGAGAAAAAATGCTTCGGCTTTTAAATGTGATTATTTAAAATTCTAAGAATAATTCCACAGCTATAAATAGCTATTCTATTCACACGATATTTATTCAACCCTGGGTTATAACATATTTATTCATTTTTGTATAAATTAACGGATGAAGGAACTTCTTTTTTGATGAATCACTGTTTTAAATCCAGAAATAGAAATTTGTGTTCCAAATGGCCATAAATTCAATGTAACCATGGCATATTCATTCTATTCACAAGGAACCAAATGCTAGGAAATATTTTGTGTTTCAAAGGGATTTTATTCCTCTTAATAAAATTATTTACTATAACTGAATTGAATTCGAAAATAACATTTCTTTTAAATCATAGTGCTATTTCAAATTTCAAATCCCCATGGTCTAACAGGTGGTCTAATGTAAGAAAATAGTAAAAAGTATTGGCACTTTGCTATCAATGTATTTGAACAATTCAATTCAATGCTTGATAATAAGCCAAGAAAAATTGTGCTCACATTAAAAGGATTTCTTAGGAAATCATTGATTCTGTATAATTTTCCTATGAAAATAGATATCTGAGTCAAAGGGGGAGTATTAAAATCATATATATATGTCTTGTGGTCCATCCTATAGAGGCTATGGGTAATATAGCTATATGTATATAAATGTTTGTGCAATATTCATTTAAATAGGTTAAAATTGAATAAATCAAATTTGGAATCTGTGTAGTTACAAACATATTTCTAAAAAGTGCAAGCTCTCAAGAAAAAAGTGCAACTTACTTAAGCTCACATTTTCAACAATAAAATGTAGAAAATAACATATATTTTGTGTCTATTACAAATCGCCCCAATTACTGCGCTACAATTTACATACAACTGTTTTTATGAAATTGTATTTTTTTAATTAATTTTATTTTTTTTTTATGTATATTTATTATATTATCGAAATTTGTTATATAAATATTACCCTAAACATATACATGCATAAGTATTTGTATCATTTTTCTGTTTCATTTTTTTATTTTTAAATTGTACATAGTTATTATTTTTTCGTTAGTAAGCAATTAAATAATTTAATTACATTTTCTCTCAGTGTATTTACATGTTTTGATATTATTTATTTATAAAAAGTAAAACAAATGTGAAATTGATTTGGATTTTAAGCGTTTATATTTTCATGTTTCGCTCTCTCAAGGATTCTTTTCTAGAAGTCTTTTGTGTGTGTGTGTGCGTGTGTTTGCTTCTTATGGCATTCGTTTCTGTCATTCAGTCAGTCGGTTAGTTTTTAAAAACTATAGATCTCTCTATATATACATACTAACTTATACATACATATATATAAATGCATAAAAACCAATATTTGTTTTGATTTTCTTTCTTTTTTTTTGGCAAATTGGCAACACAATTCACACTATTTAAAAGAGAAAAATAATAAAAAAACAAAACCTATGAAAACCATTCTTAAGAGAAGGAACAACAAGAAAATAGTATTATTACCAATAAAAAAAAAAATAAATCCTAAAGAAGAAGAAAAAAAATTGAAAATAAAATATATTATGAAACAACACTGGAATACCAATACTATTTATATTTATTATAAAAAAAAAAAACAAACAAAACAAAACTATATACAATAATTTATTCAAAGCAGTCGAAAGTCTCAGTCAGTCAGTAAAACAGATTTGCAAGTCGAAAACAACCATGGGATGGTCATTTGAAATCCAATTTTCCCCCAAAAAAACTGGATAACAACAACACTAATAACAACATCAGCAACAAAAACAAAATTGAGAACAACAACAAAACGATGAACCAGAACAAGAAGAAATCATGTAGTATTAGAAAAAAGCAAATTAAGAATTAAAAAAAAAACACAAAGTATATACAAAAATATATATATGAAAAATTCAGATATAGTCAGAGTCAGAAGACCAGTGGAGATGGAGAAGTAAAGTAACAAAAAGTGTATAATCATTTAAATAAATTAAATAAATAAATTAATTAAATAAATATGAACTGTAGCAAATCGATCGATCATTATTAAGTTTTAATGGGTCCAATGTAGGGTTGGTTAATTATTTGGTTTTTTGTTTACATTCTTTAAAATTTGGCTTAGCAATGAAAGAAATATGTATACTTTACAACGAAAGTGCGGCAACGGAAACTTAGTAAAAATGCCCAAACTGGATCCACTGCCAACATTGCTAAGAAAGAAGTTTTAAAGAGAACTTCATTATCAGCCATCTATGTCCTTTTATATAATTTTTTTTTCTAGAATTACTTGTTTTTGGGTAAAAGAATGGTTTCCTAATAACAACTCCTGGAGAAAATTCATAATAAGAACTTTTTCTGACACAAGTCATGGGTTGGCTTTTTCAGAAATACACTAATAAATTAGATCAAGTCACTTTATCGCTAAAAAAGGGCTACAAACCTGGTTTTAATCGAAACTCTATTTCTATAAATTAACCGTAAGAAACAAGTAAAAGGAGTTAAGGCCGGGTCAAACTTTTTTACACTCCACTATTCGGAAGAAACTTGAAAAATTAAAAAAAAAAAAACCGTCGAAAAATACCGCTCTAATGAAAAATGTTATATGGGGACTATACGAAGATGTGGTCCTGCATAAGTAGTTTTTGTCAGAGGCTGTAATATCGGTTCCGAGCTTCATATACGAAAAGACACCAAAATTTGGTTAAAATCAGCTAAATACCGGATATGTGGGGTACTGTTATATGGGGGATATACCATATCGTGGACCGAAATAGCCCATCTGCTCGACCTACCTGCAGACTAAAGACAGATCTTTGCAAAATTTCAGCTTCTTATCTTGTTTTGACTCTAGCGTGATTAGAACAAACGGACGGACGGACATGGCTAAATCGTCTTAGAATTTTACGCTGATAAAGAATATATATACTTTGTTATGTCCAAAAATATTATTTCGATGAGTTACAAACGGAATGACGAACTTAATGTACTCTCCATACTATGTATGGTGGATTGTATAAAAACATTTGACCCGAACCAAATCACGGTTAGAGTTGCCTGAAAGCCCATTTCAAAAAATCGAAACACTGAATCGAACCAACCCAAGTAGTTGACAGCCCTGGATAAAAGTATTTTGTTTTTATGGTATAAATATTTCGGAAATCTCAAATCACAAACAATATTATAGTTTTTTTTACCACATAACACAAGTTGTGTGCAAATTTCGAAGGCGGGAATTTTTATTTTTAATTTGAAAATAGGATGTTATCAAGGAAATATGAAAACATGGTGTATAATATGATTGAAAAAAAGTCGTACATTATATGAAATTGACAAAAAAAGAAAAACAAATGTTTAAAGGACCTTACGAAGTTTGTCAATAGAATGTACAATTATTTTAAAATTGGATTCCCTAAAAATTTTTCCCCGATTTTAGAATTTTTGCAATGAGATAGCCTTTTTCGTAATTTTTTAGCGATTTTAAAAAAGTAATATTTTTTGTTCAAATCTTATTATTTTCTGAAGTGATATTATTCATCGGACCCCAAATAAATACTAAGGGTTGGATGGGAAGTCAACAGTATCTCGTGTAATAATTTTCAAAGCGATATCTTCATTATTTTGGCCAATATAAGGATTTTAGATAAATCAAAATAATGGGCGTAAAAGTAGGCGTGGTCCATATTTTTTTCTTTAAAAACCTAACTCGCTTCCATATATATTTTCTTCCAAGTGAGTAATATTAACACAAATAAGATGGAATTTATCCCAAGGGCAATTTTATGATATTTAGTGAAAATCAGATCAGATAAAGCTATAGCTCCCGTATATATGTTTCATCCGATTTTATATTTAAGTCCATTACAGCCGTAATATGAACTCCATAACAACGATACTACATATATCGTTATACGTTTGTTGTGCACTGAAACTATATTATCAACTCAAATTGATTGGATTTTAGCATATACGATCGAATTTAGAGTATAAGCAAATATACTGAGCCTTGTGAAAGTCGGTGCAGATGTATATTTGTATCACCCGATTTAAGCTACCTACAATCTTCATATGCACTCCATATCAATGTTATTACCTACAAGATATCAGATACGGCTTAGAAATATCTATGACAAAATTTGTCGGGATCAGTTCAGATTGGGGTATAGCACCTGTGAGGTGCTAGGGTGGGTATGATGAAAAAAACTGTAACCAACTTCAGACTTCTGTCATTTCTAAGCCACTCGTCCGACAGATGTTAAAATTATTCCAGTGATAGCTCATTATCGTGATGGAATTCAAGCGTGATAGTGTGATTTCTTTATATTTGGCTGGAAAACCACAAGTGGCTATCGTTAGAGCACTCCAGCATTTAAATGTGAATAAATCTTTTGTGTCTCGTATCATCGCTCGTTACCGTTATGCTGGTAGCGTAGCTCGACGTCAAGGAAGTGGGAGGTGGACGGAAGAAAACAGTAACATTAGCAGAAATGGTTCGAAAAGTAAAGGAGCGACGTGATTGAAACCCGCGTCGCTGTGGCCGAAAAATGGCTCCTGAGCTGAACATATCGCGATATTCCATTCGGCAAATATTGAAAAATGAGCTCGGGGCAAAACCATTGAAATTCCAAAAAGTGGAAGGACTTACACCGCAACAGAAAGAAAATAGAGCTGAAGTGTTGCTTCGGTGGCCGAAGATGGTGAACTGCCGAATTTGGTTTTCTCCGATGAGAAAACATTCGTTGTCCAGCAGTTTGTAACAAACAAAATTATCGTGTTTATTTGCCAAAGAGGTCAGCTGAAAATGTGCACCTTCGGTTGGTCACCAGAACTCAAGCGCCGGCCATGGTGATGGTGTGGGCCGCCATAACAGCCAATGGTCGCTCTACGCTCGTCCGAATAAATGCCGAATATCATCGCAAAAATATTCTGGAGGGTGTATCAAAGCCTTGGGACTCAGAACCATTGCACTTAGCTCGCGCCATCCAAGAATGGTTACAAAATGAGGTTCCTCGCTTCATTTCCAGTGCGCAATGGCCACCAAAATCTCCGGATACCAATCCGTTGGACTATTATGTCTGGAGTATTTTGGAAAGCAAGGTTGGCTTTAAAAATACCAAAGTGTCGATTACCTTAAGCAAGCGCACAGCAACATTCGGGCAGCGTGTGACGGTTTCATTGGCCGTTTGAAGGCCATAATTCGTGACAAAGGTGACCAATTCGAACAAATCTAAACTTATTGTAAAATTTGATGCTATTTCCGATAATTTTTGCTTTCATTCAATAAAATTTAAAAATAAAATGTAAAAATTATGGCGTTTGACTTTGTTGCAGTTTTTTTTATCTCTCCCGTTTATCGTTCGGAAGCTAGAGTAATTTCCACAGACAGATGGACGGGCATTGTTAAATCGACATAAAATTTTATGCTTATCAAAAATATATTTGTGTGGTCTAAAATGTATTCTTCGAGGTGTTACAAACGGATGACAAACTCAATATACCATCCATACTATGGTGGACGGGATGCCCGCCCGCGCAATACTGTGTTGCGTATTTTTATTAACGGTGGCCAAAAATAGAAGGAGTTGACTTATGAAGATGAATTTCGGTACAAGTACTAATTCGTCCCGATATCCGGTATTTTGTTAATTTATAATTGAATTGCCTCAAGTTTGGAATTTAGAGTTCATTTTAGGTTCCACCCACTGTGGCAGAACATTGGATCTATAAAGGTCCACATGTACCTAAATTTCTTATATAACTCAAGGCATTTAGTATTTTCATGATTTTGGCTACGTTTTTCAACGGAAGTGCTTCAAATTTGATTGTTGACGTTCTCAACACATACCAACCACTTTAGCCAAAAAAAAAAAAAAAAAAATCATGGAAGTCACTTTCTCGACAGTTATTGGAAGTGAAAAAATATTTTTAATCTTTTATATTGTTATTGGTACTTTTTCCAATCTGCCCCTGCATGGACATTATACTAATTAGCTGGAATACTTATAGATTATTATTTCTTCGTTTTAAAAATGGGATCGAACCTGAGTGTTCAGAGAGCAACGCGAGCATGCTTAGCACTGCACCACAGTGTCTTGTAATCTAGTATGGAATAAAGTCTTATTTTTGTTCAATTCGTAGTAGTAACCATGGTACAATGAAGAGAAGGTAGGCCAACTTTGAAAAAAATTGCAAGTATAGAGGTCTACCTGTTTGGCTTGTAATGTCAGAATTAGTATCAAAACAATAAAAAATCAAACAACTTGTTGCATTTATTTTGAATAAATAATTGAAAACTGCGATAACTGAATGAAAGGTCAACACTTCTTTTCAAAATCATGTACTATATATCTCTAAAGGATTATTTCGCTATAAAAACTCTAGATTTTGTCGATGCATACGTTGAAATAAACATTTTGAAAACACCCAAATTTGAATGTTTTCTGAACTATTTTTTTGTTATTGAAAAGAAAACACATACATAGACAAATAAATGAGACATATTAAGCCAAGAAAATAAAAAAATTAAAATCATATGGTTTCATAGCCCTACCTTGATATCATTGTACCATGGTAGTAACCATGGTACAATACGGAGGTAGAACAGCTTCGTAGAACAACAGAAATACAGCTCTGAGGCTATGCCCGCTTCCTGTCAAATTTGTATGCAACAAGTTGTTTTCATTTACTCAGTATTTTTCCTCATTTGTATACCCTACACCACAAGGTGGTCAGGGTATTATGTCTTTGTCCATTTGTCCGCCCGTTTGTCCATGTATATTTGTAAACAAAGTACAGGTCGCATTTATTGCCCTATCCAGATGAAATTTTGCACAAATCATTTGTTTGGCCCATGGACGAACCCTATTGAAATTGGAGATAATCGGTAAAAATTTAGATATAGCTCCCATATATATCTTAGATATAGCTTCCATATATATTGTGCACCAAACGTGTACAATTCCCAATAGTGTGGAATTTTGCACATACAACCAAATTAGGCTTGAAAATAAGTATGCCATCGATCGATCGAAATCGGTTCAGATATA